AGTGCTAGGCACTCAAATGCTGTGAAAGCAAGTGTTCGTGAACACACAAAGGGTATTAATAATACCAAGTGCTAGGCACTTAATGCTTATAAGCAAGTGTCGTAACACCTAATGCTTTAGCGTGAGTGCAATGCACTGTATGCTCAAGGAGCAAGTGTTGTAACACTAGGATGCATAGAAAGCGTGTGTGCAGAATACAGATGCTCAAGGATCAAGTGTCAGAACACTAAAGCTTTGTTCGCAAGTGCGCTGCACTTATTGCGAGGCAAGCAAAATGAGAAGAAAATGAAATCGATGCCTCCAATTAGGTGCGAAAATTCGTGGATACGTCGGGTCCCACGGATTGGTGGGGGGAGGGTGTAACGGGGTTTCACGAAGGTGTGTTACATACTCACCTGCCACACCAATGTGGTGTGGCTGTAACTTGGGTACAAGAGAAGGTGGTGTGACCTTACCTGAAGTACGAAGGGTCGCATCGTGGCAGAGAGCCACGTGGTCACTATACTTATTTAAAGTATAGTGACTATGCATGTTTGCATAATAATAACAGGCTATAGAGCCGGTAACTAGTGACTAGCACTAAGTATAGGGTAGGTGCTTCTATATTTAGTGTTAGAATATAAACATAAATATAAATCAGTTTCAAACCTGCTCTGTAAGCCTTACAGCTTGAGCGTTCTATTCCTTCTAAGGAATCAGTATCTTTCATACTAGTGTCTCAAAGACTTCGTTGTAAATACCGATAGGCACAAGCTTACGAGCTAGCCTAGGAGGGTTAAACACCCTAAGACGTAGAAGCTCTCTTAGCCTGTCTTCCTCTGCACGTACTGCATAAGTAGCTGTGCTACAGTAGTCTGACTACTTCTTCTGCACATTGTGCATAAGTAGCGGTGCTACAGTAGCTCGGCTATACAATGTTCTTTTGAGAGAGTTAGTTTGTTCAAACAATTTGATAAGGCACTGTTCTTCGAACGGGATGAAGGCGCACCTACACTACTCACCACGTCATCATCACATTGGCATCCACTTAAGATCATGTCACAACTGTCTGGACACAGCAGCATACGCTCTTAGGTTATCGACAGTCTTACCATCGTTTTCTGAACCCAAAGCATGCGATATCCTCTTATGTTTACTCCATTTGCCTTTGCGGAGAAAAATCATGCACGAACGAATGGTCTAGAAACCACGAAATGTGATAAAAAAGCCATGTGTTTATTGCCAAAGACCACTGTATCTACGGCCTTTTTTCCCAGATGATTATTCCACTGTCGTCCATCGACGCATTTATAGTGGCTCAAAATGATTGGCAAGTTACAGCTGCAAAAATCAAGCTTTCTGATTACGCCAGTCATGCATGACCACTCAAGATTTCAATGGGTTTCTAAGGATTCGGACATTACTAATTCATAGAGATAGGCAGACAATTCCATTAAACGTAGTGAAGGTTTGCAAGATGTCTAGAAGAGATATTATTATGATCATTAACGGTAGTATCTTCTTAGTATGTAGAAATGATGCAATAAAGAAAATTTTAGGTGGCTACATGTGAAAGCAAGAAAACATGTGATTGCATGAGAAGCAGCTGTAATCAAAGTAAATTGACACTTAGTAAACTCAGCACATAGTGACGTAGGACACGGAGTCATAAGCCTAAGATTTAGAAAAAGTGCTATGATGCGCACGAGCTTCATGCCCATCATATGGACGACAAAAACATACGTCTTTATGAAGCATACTTGTAGTAACACCGTGTTCTACAGTAGAACCCTGCCCTATGACTCTACTTCTATTGGTATTCATATTCAACAGCTCAATAGCTATGGTACTGACAAATAATGCCCCGGTGCTAAGGAGCTAGCATACGTAGATAAACTTCCTTGACTGACTTTAGACTCAAAAAAATCACGTAAGATAGTGGTACTATGCGGGCTGTGCTGATGCCGACCAAAAATCTATCAAGATGTGCGCAGCTCATCCCTGTACTTCTGCTTGTACATAGGCTTGGGTGTCGTGAAGCATGCAACGATTCTATTAGACTTATATCTAGTATGCAGGACGAAAGCGTACTTTCTTAGAAGCCTACGTTTATGCTTGTTCCCTCTCGATCATCTGCGTAGTGCGGCTGTCCACTTCGACAACAAGTTCAAGAAAATGTCTAATGAAACGGAGGGCTTGAATTCAGCCGCACTGAGATTGCTATGCAATCTTAATCCGCAAATTATAGTAGATTTACATTATGAGGTGACATATGAAGTGATGTATGTATAGTCCTTACTACGCTTGCTACGTCTTACTACGCTCGCTACGTCTTGTTTCTTTGCTTCTCTAATTTTCCTATATTTAAACCTAGATTCGATATTTTCACTGGATTCTTTACTTGTAAATAATCAGTATGAAGATAATAATCATCAATATGCTCATCTCACGCATGTGATCGTGCAATCTTGTCGTACTTGATGATCAAGTGGGATCAAATATCATGTGATTACGCAAGAACCTATCCTCTGATGTGACCTCCACGTCATCATTTTAATTCGTCTTGCAACCATTATGTAGCGCAACTTCAACGCTCTGTAATTGGCGGAAATAAGACTGCATAGCACGGCCGACGAAGAATAGATGGTCAAGAATATTCTAAGCTTGTTTTTTGTATGCGATCCGCAGATTAGGGTTATCAAGTTGCAAGCCTCTATTGTTATATATATATCGAAAAGTTTACTGGCTTACGTTTGACTGACGCAAGATTTGCATGACTTTGTCAAATGTCGTATGAAATTATGATGAAATCGCAGGTTTGGAATGTCAGAAGGGAATTAAAATAGTGTTTTGACTTAATAATATCATTCCTCATTCTGCAATTTGCATCGTAGCGACCAATCTCCAACTTTCCTGTCCCAGCCTATTCTTCATAACTCCAACCACGATGCGTCTCTCTATCATCCTTGCCGTCTTTGCTGCATTCAATCTTCATGCTAGAAGCGGTGCGTTCTCCGATGTGGGCAAGGACTCTAGTAGTATTATGAAGGCTGTCCTATCGACCACAGCTAAAACTGAACGGCACTTGCGCGTTTCCGTAGATATGGAACGTTGCAAATACTGTAAAAATAAATGACATGGTGAATGTTTGAGTTGCGATAAAGATTGCACGTGGAAGTGTAGAGAGCCATTCGAAGCCTACTGCGTGCAAAGTTGCTCATAAAACGCCTAGATCCGAGAAGAGCCGTACCTGACCTCCGTAAAAATTGGGAGTGAGTGCTGCACTATACCTTCTTTCCTTTGAATTTCACCAGAGGCCGCCTGCAGGGCGTATGTTTGATAGAGGCAGTCGATGAAGTGTGCACTACGAGTGTGTAAACATTCATTTCATTTGGACTGATCAAGTTGCCATTCTGCTTTTTGTTTAGTCATCGACAACAGTACACTAGCCTCTTTAGTTTCAGCTAATAGAATGGTGTTTTGAGTCTCTACACCTCGTTTTCTTGTTTCCTAATCGTCCTTCATACATTGTCATCTCGTAGCTTAATTTTGTTAATTGTCCTAGGATATGCAGAGATAAAGTCTCTTTTCTTTTTTGTCTTCTCGTAGATTGCCTTTAGATCGTGCAAGGTCCTGTGTATGAATAGGGAAAGCGGTATTGACTCAGTCTGATTGCTCTATTTGAGAGTTAGTATGTGTTTTCAGCCCCTGATAAGGTCAAATACAAGCCATGTGTAAGATAGTGACTCATTGGTTTTTATAGAGGAGGGATGGTCTAGAGCATTCTGAACTACTGAACGCCCCACTGGATCAAATTACTCTTCAAGTACTAGTTGGCTATAGATGGTGTGCAGCCACTCATGTTTGAGAATGAATCCATCGATGTGTCACATTGTCATCTTTAGCGACTTTTGTAGTGTAACGAACAAAGTATCTATCATATTGAAGTCTGAATTGTGACAAAAAGGTACACTTGGACATTAATCAAATATGTCCTTTTCAAGTAAAGCACTTTGCTCATCCGAAGACCGGTGTCAACTACATCGACATATACTTTTCCACGTGTATCGTCGCCCTATGTGACAAAATCGTATTCCATAGCGCACTGCAGGACTCCTATCAAGCGAAACGTACATTGGTAGCCATTGCATACAACGTTGAGTGCCAAACAGACAAGACCAACAACACTTTTAATTGAACGGATTTGACACTCACGTGACGGGAAAGCGTCAAATTTCGTCTTTTACAAAGTACAACTAGTACAAACTATTTGTGTAGCTTGAGCAACTATAACATCACGTCGCGATTATTCCGACACTAAAACTGTCCCCTTGCGTGCTGCAATAGCTACATAGAGGCTGCAAACTTCTACACTTTATCTTGTCCTACCAATCGCAATTTAGCTACAACGTATTAAGGAATGAAGACACGACATATGTATTGAAGCCTCGCTGAGCGCGTCTGTTGCATAAAAAATGACGACGCTGATTGGTTGTGGGTACATTTTGTTTTTCCATGTATCGCACATGTACCAATTGAATGGTACCTGTCATGCCGAAACGTTTATAGAAAATGACTGGACGAAACAAGGAAATTTTGTATCTTAGCCGCGGGAGCAATAAGTTTGAAGCCCCTACGATTACTTCCATCCATAAGCAACGATAATGAATTAGATTGTAACGATACCACCAGTAATAACAACAATAGTTGCAGTAGCTTTTCTAGCTGCTGCAACGGAAATACAACCTGTTGCAATCTCCTATGCGTCAGCTTTGTGTAGCTAGTACCGTGTTCTTCTTGCCTCTCCAAGAAAACACCGGACGTATACTTCTGACGCACAATTAATATATTTACTTAGCTACGCTGTTTTTGCTAGGACGGTTGCTCTGCTGATTCCAGACTGACCTCGGTGGCATATGGCAACACGCCCCTCCGACATAACCGCCCAAGCAACCGCATGATTATGCCCGATTAGCGATCGACACAGCGTTAAACTTTCCTTCGACAAAGCTTTGGTAAACATGTCAGCTGTTTATTTTCGTGCCGTGCACTTTGACAATGGTAAGCAGTCCTTTCTTGATCTGGTTTTGCACGTAATGCCAACGTGGCATATGACAACACAACCGTCAGTACACGCGGCTGCTAATGACACGGGCTCAAGCGACTTGGCCGACAACCTTGGTGTTTGCAAGATGATGAGTTTGCATCACCACCAGTACAAGGTCCTTTGCTTTCATATGGACGTAAAATTTGTCTGCATAATACGCAGACAATCCTCCACGATCGTGTTTTGGACTTAGAACTTGCAGACTCAAGCAATGCAATATGGAAAGGAGACGAATGCAAGAATGATATTGGTGTATACAAGCCTAGCTCGGATTGGTCGGAGTCATATCTGCTAAGAAGGCTTTTGTCTTTGCTTATGCGCATTTCCAATTGTTTTCAAGACAATTGAGAACTTTGAGACGTTGGACAAGGCAAAGCTCTTCATGCAGAACGTACCAGGTGATATGTTCCTGGATGCAAAAGTACTGGAAGATCGAATGGCACGGGTGTTTCTCCATGTGCAAACTTCCCGAAAGACACCCCGTGAGATGTAACAGCCAGGCAGCTAGCAGTTGGGCTCACTGGCTAGTAAAGCCTCAGGTTGGAGGCAGAAGGCACCTGCCTACCTTTAGACGTAATTTGTTTGCATCGGTCGATGACACATGCAAAGTAGCGTCTACTTATAGCATTTCTAGACATTGTTGCATGTTACATCTTACAGGAGTTGCTGGTAGAGGTGGGTGGTATGCCACATATCCATGGTAACAACCTCGAACGCTCTCAGTTTGATGCATTATCTTCAAGTTTGAACGCACCTCATCGCCGGACTACAAGGATGATTTCGTCACTTCCATTGTGTCCCAGCGCCCTCCACCTATGATAAGCCTTCCGCAACAACCCTGCAGTGGATATGGTCACACAACTTGCTCACCGTTATACGTGACATCCTTGAGAGCCCGCCAGAGCTCCAAGATTTGTCTGCCGTAAAAACGTCCGCTTGGGTGAAAGACAAGTACGTTGGTACATACATTATCTGTAAGTGAGGTACTTTTGGTTTTACCCTGGCTTGCATAATGAGCACATTTTCAACTTTGTCATGACGCAGAGATCGCCGTTTCTGTGTGCGCAAGATGCAACACTTGTTATTGTAGCATTTAGCCTGCAATAGTGCAGCACTTAATCAACACAAAACAGCGACCTAGCAGTCTAAAATTCTAAAGGACGCACGCTCATGGACTCCGTCAGTGATCGCAGCACGACGCTTCTGGAAGTCCGGCGTGTACTCGGCCATAACGTCGATTAGCATCTGCTTCACCTCGCCTGGCATCATGCGACCTGCGCTATACTCGCGGCCGATGCGCTCAAGCTCGACGTCATCCTCAAGCACGAATGATAAATACTGGTACGGCCTCCAAGTTGGCGCCGTATTTTTCATGGTCAGCCTGTGTCTCACCTCTGCCGCTGTAACAAAGATTAGCATGCGCTATTTCAAGTAAGAATTTGTCTTCAGCAATTGCACAAGAATAAAACCATTTGAGAATTTACCTGAAGGCGTACTTCTTGATCTTGGTAGCAATATCGTCCGGTGAGTCCGAGATATAAATGGTAGTGCTCGCCTTGCTAGTTAGTACTACCTTGCAGAGCAGGGAGAAACTTCGAGTGCACAGAGATAGGTTTTAGGTAGCCAATGCGCGCGGTCACGTCACGCGTCATGCGGCAGTACGGATCTTGATCAATGGCGTGAGGATAAGGCAACGCAGCCCTTTACGTCCACTGAGCACCACAGGGAATGTCTCTGAGAAAGAAGGCGCAGTCTGAAAATAGTAGGGAATGCCGACTGTGCCGATGTTGCTGGATCTCGTAAGGCGAAAGATGCCACGCACGTGACACACTTTTGCATCTTGAGAATCTGCGAGTCAGTGTTGGCAAAATGAAGGTTTTCTTGACGTCAAACCCGCACGCAGAATATCCTTTGCGTTCTCCCAAGCCATGACCTCGCTTTCCTTAAGTGTCTGATCTTTAAACAAACACTTCTTATCGTTAGTAAGTTGAATCACAAGAGGTACATCAAACACTTTCTGTAGTCACGCCGTGAACGTGAATGGAATGAGATGTCACACCAACTTCGACTCGACTTTTGTTTAGACTGTTAAGGCCAGCACCTGTCAACGTCTTGTACTGCTATTGAGCGCTAAGCATTAACAGCTTTTGTACTTGGACCGACATTTCTGTAGCATTTTCGACACCTTTTGCTGCTATGAGCTCGCGATGGAGTCACCTGTAGCCGCAATCTTCTTTATAATTCCTGTGCTTCCGTATTGGAGTTTTAAGCAGATTCCTGACAAGTGACGTATTCATATACAATACCATTGTTCTGCAATGCAAACTACATGTACATTAGTGCTATCGAAGCACGTTGTTCTTAGTCATATCAACTAGATGATCTATAAGTCTCCTGGTTCTCTATCGTCTCCGTTCGCGCCGCGACGAGATATGCTCTTCCATCCAAAACGTGTTGGAAAGGCTGGCTTGGATACAGTTGGAGCAGTAAAGCGGCCAAAACGAGACTTACTCTTGGGAGCCCGTTGCTGTGCCTGCGGTGAATACACGACCGAGTCTTCAATCTCAGCTTCAAAAGACCTCGTGATACCAGAATTATTCGTCGAGACGGAAAGCTTTCGGGTGAGCATACCAGCAACGGAGCTCAAGCTAGAAACCGCATGTGAAGTGGTCGAACGTGTTTTCGTCTCATCTTTCTCCTCATCTTCGAGGGATGACGTAGGTGAGCTTGTCGGTTTGCTCGATTGACGACTTGATAGTGCGCTAAGCACGCTTGCAGCACGCCAGCGGCTGCTACTCTTATTGCGTGTAGCCTGGTCCTCATCCTGCACCTCGTCCTTTTCGATTTCGCTCGTATTTTGACCCAACGCTGAAGTATCACTGATAAACGAGCTTGCGTAGTCACTATCAGAATCGCAGTTCTTCAAGCCTTCGCAATTTTTTTCGACATCGCTAAGATTCTCGTCATCGTAGTCAGACTTGCAGGGGGTATCAGCGTACGAGTCTCGATGTGACTGGAACCCATCATCGTACGAGTTGTCACGAGACCGGAAAACATCAGCATAAGAATCGTTACGAGACCGAGTCGAGTCAGCATAGGAATCACCACGAAATCGAGTCGAGTCAGCGTACGAGTCGTCACGAGAGCGGAACGGATCAGCAAGTGATTCACCATGCGGTTTAGATACACCACTTAGCGAGCTTGATGCCAAACTACCACGAGGAGTGTCCGAGTCAAGCGATAGCTCTTGAAGGAAAGACTCAGAGCGGACAGACGATAGTCGATCAAAATCAGATATACTGCTACTTAGACTTGGGCGCCCATTGTCGGCCTCCTCGAAAACCTCTTCTTTGATAGGTGAAGGTGGAGGAGCGCCAGATGCAGACACAGATGTATCCGTGGAAGGGGCAAGGTCAGATACTAAACTGTTGCATTCCTCCGTCCAGTGACGATTCTTGTCGGCATCCACGTTGTGAAAATTATGCTCAATCGGCTTATGCTCCTCCATTGCGTCGACAAAAATGTCACTACTCGCATCACTTTTGTCATCATTGAACGTCGAGTGGTATTCAGAAATTGAAAACTCAAATGTCATGTTCGCCGAACTTGAAGAAATACGCGGACCAAAATCTCCATGGGAAGCGCGAGGTGACGAAAATGGTTCATTATCCAAAGAACTCTGAGATTCCGTCAAAGATGGAGCAAACGGGGCTTCACCAACGAAACTTGGTGCGTCTTCAAACTCAGAGTTACCATCACTGTCGTCCGATAAGTATGAAAAGCGTCCTGTTTGACTTAGAAGCTGAAGCTCCGTTAACGTAGGCTGCCGGTCAAGTTGCTCATTCTCTAGACCAGATTCCTCTTCGCAAGAATTTGTCCCTGATCGCCGTAGTGCAACGTCATTCCGTCCAGTACTAGTATGCGTCTGAGTTATCAGTGCATTCTCCACCTCATTTTCTGTCTCGTGACCTGCTTGCTGGAGGGTTCCAACCCCCTTCGCTCTGACTAAAGCTCGCCACCAGCACTGAATTTTCAGCGCCATCACAATCTTCAGTTCTGCTAAATCTTTTGAAAAAACTGAACTCTCTCGTATCTCATTCACCTCTCGAAATATCCCAAACGACCCCCTTTGGCTCTGCAGCCGCATCGTCGTCAATGGTTCGTGCTGATCAGAAATTTCACCCTCACCAGCACCAACCCTACCATGTGCGACACGGCGCCATCTTTGCTGAATCCTACATGCAGCCATGTGCTCAATTTTTGACATCCGAACTTCTACTTCAGCAATGGATGCCGAACGAACAATAATCACCTCGAATCGAGCAGTCCAACCACGCCACTGGCTTTGAATCTTTGTCGCCATCCTGCTCCTGACCTCAGCTTCACGAGCAGCCTCCTCAGCAGCAGCCTTCTCAGCAGCGGCAGAAGCCTTAGCACGCAGTGCAGACACCTCACATCGAGCAGTCCAACCACGCCACTGGCTTTGAATCTTTGTCGCCATCCTGCTCCTGACCTCAGCTTCACGAGCAGCCTCCTCAGCAGCAGCCTTTCTCAGCAGCGGCAGCCGCAGCAGGCAGCCTTAGCACGCAGTGCAGACACCTCACATCGAGCAATCCAACCACGCCACTGGCTTTGAATCTTTGTCGCCATCCTGCTCCTGACCTCAGCTTCACGAGCCGCCTCCTCAGCAGCAGCCTTCTCAGCAGCGGCAGCAAGCCTTAGCACGCAGTGCAGACACCTCACATCGAGCAGTCCAACCACGCCACTGGCTTTGAATCTTTGTCGCCATCCTGCTCCTGACCTCAGCTTCACGAGCCGCCTCCTCAGCAGCAGCCTTCTCAGCAGCGGCAGCCTGCAGCAGCAGCCTTAGCACGCAGTGCAGACACCTCACATCGAGCAGTCCAACCACGCCACTGGCTTTGAATCTTTGTCGCCATCCTGCTCCTGACCTCAGCTTCACGAGCAGCCTCCTCAGCAGCAGCCTTCTCAGCAGCGCAAAAGCCTTAGCACGCAGTGCAGACACCTCACATCGAGCAGTCCAACCACGCCACTGGCTTTGAATCTTTGTCGCCATCCTGCTCCTGACCTCAGCTTCACGAGCCGCTTCCTCAGCAGCAGCCTTCTCAGCAGCGGCAGCCGCAGCAGCAGCCTTAGCACGCAGTGCAGACACCTCACATCGAGCAGTCCAACCACGCCACTGGCTTTGAATCTTTGTCGCCATCCTGCTCCTGACCTCAGCTTCACGAGCCGCTTCCTCAGCAGCAGCCTTCTCAGCAGCGGCAGCCTCAGCAGCAGCCTTAGCACGCAGTGCAGACACCTCACATCGAGCAGTCCAACCACGCCACTGGCTTTGAATCTTTGTCGCCATCCTGCTCCTGACCTCAGCTTCACGAGCCGCTTCCTCAGCAGCAGCCTTCTCAGCAGCGGCAGCCTCAGCAGCAGCCTTAGCACGCAGTGCAGACACCTCACATCGAGCAGTCCAACCACGCCACTGGCTTTGAATCTTTGTCGCCATCCTGCTCCTGACCTCAGCTTCACGAGCCGCTTCCTCAGCAGCAGCCTTTTCAGCAGCAGCAGCCTTCTCAGCAGCGGCAGCCCAGCAGCAGCCTTAGCACGCAGTGCAGACACCTCACATCGAGCAGTCCAACCACGCCACTGGCTTTGAATCTTTGTCGCCATCCTGCTCCCCCCCCCCCCCCTCCCCTTCCCCCCCCCCCCCCCCCCCCCCCCCCCCCCCCCCCCCCCCCCCCCCCCCACCCCCCCCCCCACCACCCCCCCCACCCCCAAAACAAACACCCCACATCAAACAATCCAAACTTGTCGCCATCCTGCTCCTGACCTCAGCTTCACGAGCCGCTTCCTCAGCAGCAGCCTTTTCAGCAGCGGCAGCCTTCTCAGCAGCGGCAGCCGCAGCAGCAGCCTTAGCACGCAGTGCAGACACCTCACATCGAGCAGTCCAACCACGCCACTGGCTTTGAATCTTTGTCGCCATCCTGCTCCTGACCTCAGCTTCACGAGCAGCCTCCTCAGCAGCAGCCTTTTCAGCAGCGGCAGCCTTCTCAGCAGCGGCAGCCGCAGCAGCAGCCTTAGCACGCAGTGCAGACACCTCACATCGAGCAGTCCAACCACGCCACTGGCTTTGAATCTTTGTCGCCATCCTGCTCCTGACCTCAGCTTCACGAGCCGCTTCCTCAGCAGCAGCCTTTCTCAGCAGCGGCAGCCGCAGCAGCAGCCTTAGCACGCAGTGCAGACACCTCACATCGAGCAGTCCAACCACGCCACTGGCTTTGAATCTTTGTCGCCATCCTGCTCCTGACCTCAGCTTCACGAGCCGCCTCCTCAGCAGCAGCCTTCTCAGCAGCGGCAGCCTCCAGCAGCAGCCTTAGCACGCAGTGCAGACACCTCACATCGAGCAGTCCAACCACGCCACTGGCTTTGAATCTTTGTCGCCATCCTGCTCCTGACCTCAGCTTCACGAGCCGCTTCCTCAGCAGCAGCCTTCTCAGCAGCGGCAGCCTCCAGCAGCAGCCTTAGCACGCAGTGCAGACACCTCACATCGAGCAGTCCAACCACGCCACTGGCTTTGAATCTTTGTCGCCATCCTGCTCCTGACCTCAGCTTCACGAGCCGCCTCCTCAGCAGCAGCCTTCTCAGCAGCGGCAGCCTTCCAGCAGCAGCCTTAGCACGCAGTGCAGACACCTCACATCGAGCAGTCCAACCACGCCACTGGCTTTGAATCTTTGTCGCCATCCTGCTCCTGACCTCAGCTTCACGAGCCGCTTCCTCAGCAGCAGCCTTCTCAGCAGCGGCAGCCTCCAGCAGCAGCCTTAGCACGCAGTGCAGACACCCCACATCGAGCAGTCCAACCACGCCACTGGCTTTGAATCTTTGTCGCCATCCTGCTCCTGACCTCAGCTTCACGAGCATCCTCCTCAGCAGCAGCCTTTTCAGCAGCGGCAGCCTTCTCAGCAGCGGCAGCCGCAGCAGCAGCCTTAGCACGCAGTGCAGACACCTCACATCGAGCAGTCCAACCACGCCACTGGCTTTGAATCTTTGTCGCCATCCTGCTCCTGACCTCAGCTTCACGAGCATCCTCCTCAGCAGCAGCCTTTTCAGCAGCGGCAGCCTTCTCAGCAGCGGCAGCCGCAGCAGCAGCCTTAGCACGCAGTGCAGACACCTCACATCGAGCAGTCCAACCACGCCACTGGCTTTGAATCTTTGTCGCCATCCTGCTCCTGACCTCAGCTTCACGAGCCTCCTCCTCAGCAGCAGCCTTAAAAAGACTTCTCAGCAGCGGCAGCCGCCGCCGCAGCAGCAGCCTTAGCACGCAGTGCAGACACCTCACATCGAGCAATCCAACCACGCCACTGGCTTTGAATCTTTGTCGCCATCCTGCTCCTGACCTCAGCTTCACGAGCCGCTTCCTCAGCAGCAGCCTTCTCAGCAGCGGCAGCCGCAGCAGCAGCCTTAGCACGCAGTGCAGACACCTCACATCGAGCAATCCAACCACGCCACTGGCTTTGAATCTTTGTCGCCATCCTGCTCTTGACCTCAGCTTCACGAGCCGCTTCCTCAGCAGCAGCCTTCTCAGCAGTGGCAGCCTCATCAGCAGCCTTAGCACGCAGTGCAGACACCTCACATCGAGCAGTCCAACCACGCCACTGGCTTTGAATCTTTGTCGCCATTGATTTTGCTGTCTGTTCATTGGCAGCTTGATTGATCTTAGCCTTTTCCTTCATGCGTGATAAGTCCCTCCGTGCTGTGCACTGACGCCAAGCACATTGAAGTCGAATGACAGCGTCAAGTCGAGCATTGGCTTGAAAGATTGCTGCTCGCATTCGGAAGATGCACTGAATTACTGTGGCTGCATCGCGCTCTGTCCGGAGACAAGCAATCTCGTTCCTTGCGTGTCGACATGCCACCATTCGAGCCGCAAACTCTTGAATATCATGGACTGCCTTAATCTGCTTAGCGTAAGCAGTCTGAGCTTGCCTGGAACGAATGAAAGACTGGAGCAAAACAACTGCAGCTTTTCGGACTGCAACTTTCGTCTGATAGCGATTCCACTGAAAACGACCACGTACAATCTTCTGAATCGCAACTGCGCATGACACTTCGTGCTGCAGTCGCTGACGAAGACCAGCAACATGCTTCTGGGCTTGATGACGCCGGAACTGAGTCTGGATAAAAATTGCAATTTTCTCGGCAGCACTGACTTTATCGCTATATGCTTTGCGAGCAATTAAACCACGCACACGGGACTGAATCCGTGTAGCCATCTTATTTTTGTGTTTGACCTCCTTCCGCTCTTTCTCTTTTGTACGAAAAGCTTGTCCGGTGTGTCCGTAGGATAGACCATTGAATGTCAATGGTTTCTTATTCTGCTTGGCCAATTCAGCTGCAATCCACATAACACCATCAGCAACTGGACAAAGAAGTTCTAGCAAACAAAATAACAAAAACATAAATCGTACCAGCTTTACGATCCATCTCCGCAAACTTCTGGGCCGCGGAGCGAACGTCAAGATTGGCTTCGTCGACAGATGCCTTGATTTGCTCAATATCGACTTCTACATTACACACACCGGACATTCGCAGGTTCATAACCAATTCATACATGTAAAACAATATAATATAGTTCACACGCACCACCAGGCTGTTGACGCACAGGCTCCATTGATTCAACAGATTCCATAGACATTTTGCGAGTGGACTCCCACGACGCCTTGCGTGAATCTTCATCAGATGCTCTCTGTTCTTTGTGTTCCTCTCGTGCACGGGTTTCGGCTAGCGTCAAGTATTCATGGGCAGTGTTTAGTACGATCAAGGCAAGAAAAAAAAAGAAAGTGCGGACGCACCAAGTTGTGCTTGGAATTTTGCCAGTGCCTTCATAGCCTGAGGACTCGATTTCTTGACCCGGGCAGCAGGATCTGTGAATGGATAGCGCTTGGCTAGAGACAGTAAACGCTTAGTACTTCCGTACATGTAAACCTGATATCACCAACAAAATTAATCACTTACCTTCCGAAGTTCCAGTACTGTCAGCGCGCTTGAGCACCATCATGCCATTCTTCATGACATATTCGTGCGAAACGTCATGCTGGTCGTACTTTGAAAGCGCCGCCTTGGCCTTTTCCTCGGCCTCTTTCTCTACCTGTGCAACCTCTTTCGCATAGACGTAAGCATGATCGAAATCAGGCGATGAAAAATTGCTCTTTGCTTCCTTCGCATGTTGCTCTTTCTTTCGATCCAGTTGCTGCAGACGCTTCTTCTCATCAAGCTGCTCTTCAAAGTATGTTTTACCTCCTACAAACTTTCCAAGTCCTTCCTGTGCTTCCAGCTCTGCTTTCGTAGTTGTTTCACGCTGTTTGTGATAGTGAGCATACGACTGATCATATTCAGTAGAGTATGTCGTCATAGCGTAAAGATTCTTCGTATCCTTTTCCTTCTTGCGCGCCATTTCCTCAACATGTCGCTGTTCCCTTCGTTTTTTCGCTTCAAATGTCTGTCCATTGTTCGTATATTGTGCCAGCGATTCTTTCGCCTTTTGCTCTGCCACCCGTTCATCTTCTTTTTGCTTGATCAAATGGTTGTAAGCATGATCATTTTCTAGATTATAAGATGATTTTTTAGCCATGGCATGACGAAATTCCTGTGTCACACGACGTTCTTGTTCTTCTCGTAGTTTACGTTCTTGTATCGCTGTATCCAACAGTGTTTCGGAGCTTTTGACTCTAGTATAAAGCTCTTGTTTCGTCTCGTCTTCCGTCTTTCGATCGTCGTTGTCGGACTCACGTTGTTGTACTTGTACAAACCTCAAGACATTATTCACAACCTTCTGTTCCTTCTCCTTCTGTTCCTTCTCCTTCTTCTTCTTCTCTTCATCCTCAAGTTTAAACACTTTCACAGATTGAGAAGATGGGACTCGACGTTTCCAAGCTGGTGGTTCTGTACTTTGTACTCCGCCTTTATTAAACATTGCACGAAGATTAGCAACACGACCACGAGCTTCAGCTAACGCCTTTCGTTCATCTAAACACATATAGTATAATTTTATGTTAGTATAGTAATTAGAGTTGTCATGTAGAAATAGGAAGAGAGAGAGAGAAAGAAAGAAGGAGAGACATACCATCATTCATTCTTCTATACTACTTTGTCAATATCAATGATGGAGTGACGTATTTCTTAGTTAGTAACGAAATGACTTGTTTTTGGAATAGAGAGAGAGAGAAAGATGATGATGGATGACGTTGGTAGTTTCAGTACTTTATGTGGTCAACATAAGGAAAGGTCTGACGTATTTAATTACAACATGACAATGTAACGACAGCTTCTTTTTTTTATAGTTGGCTGCTTTTATATGGTTCTTGTTATTGATTCGATAAAAGTAGGAAAAAACAAATGTGAACAAGATGTGATTGGATAAAATTATGCGACTAGGTGATTTCTATTATTAGATGATCCCATCACTGAGACGGGCAAACGTTATGTGACGTATGAAACCACTTCATGACACCCAGTACACTTGACTTGACCATTGTATACCCTGGAGAACGACTCGAGTCTTTCACGTGTCGAATTCACATTGTGGATGCAACTGGTTTCATACTCTTATATGATATGTGTTGTTTACAACAAGGACTTTGTTTGATTCATTTAGACGTTTGCCATAAATTGCGGGGAAAACGGCAGCATGCTTACAACTAGCATTGCTAACGAAACATGCAGGAATTTCAGGTATCAAGGTTAGATTAGTTCACGATGACGATGTGCTACGAATCACTTCATTCCGAGCATCAATGCAGCTACTGCAGGAGTGCAATACAAATTGTACAATAACTAAGCAAATGATTGTAGTATGCCAAATAATGGACGTATCCTGTATAAATTCTTGCTCGTTTTCTTCAGACAAAATCAGTGTGTTTATGAACTATCACTGTACATCTTTCTAAAATATTAATTGCTAGAGGATATCGCTAACATGAGTTATTGCGACCGTAACTGGGTCAGAAGAACGCAATGGAGCAGCAAACGATACAACATTGTTGAATCCTTCCTGTCGTCTTGAGATCACGAGACCATAGATTGTTTTTACTATAGTGAAGAAGGAAAGTCGAGCATCTTAAAGTAGTTAATGAAAAAGAGCGAGATTGGCCAAAGCACAAAAGCTCCAATTAGCATACCAGCAAGTACGTCAGTTGGATAATGACGACCAAGCGCTAGACGCGAAAAATTAATGACGAGCGCCCAGACAATAGACATACCAACCAGCAAAGACGGAGAAAAACCGAAAAAGAACTTGCGCAGAATCCATGAATGCATCCTTGCAAAATAGACAAGCATAGCTACCATAGCCCATACCCGCGTCGAGTGTCCTGATGGAAACGAATGCTGATCTGGACCGACAAAACGCAGATCTGCCTCATGAAAAGGCGGTCGTTGGCGACGAAATATCAGCTTTAGTACCATGATAGCAATGATATCCACTGTCATAACCGTGAAGAGCGCTGACAGTAGCATCTTGGTGGCAGGTTCAAAGGGCCCAATGAGACCAACAACCCACAGTAGTCCCATGAGTGGTGGAATTGTAAGAATCCAGCTAGAAAAACATGGAAAAAGAGCAGTACATAAAGCACAAGCATTAGTTACAATCGATATTCCATTGTCTTGTGTAGATGATGAAGCGGAGAAAAGATCCTTACAGAAAACCATCGCCAGAGTGAGAAAATATCTCCCAACAGAGACGCGACATTGGATCACAACCGAAACGATGATAGAGCTTTGTTGACCATTTTAAGTCGTAGGAATACAGACGATCGACAAGGCTCATACTTTGTTGTTGCTCAAACTCTCGCTTGCTTCCAACGCCTTTTACTTGCGAGATTGAGTCGTAGCTGCTCATGTTTTACAGAGGGGAGAGATGATGAGCATATGATTGGCTAAAATAGATATCATGCATAGACAGATGATTTGTCTTCGATGAATAGAAATGACTATTGGATGAATTACTTCCATTTAGTTATTCCTTTCATTTTTTAGTTTTTTTTTTTTTCTTCTTTGTCATGGAAAAATAGCCTTCTCACGTTTATACTATTAAATGTGTAAGTTAAGCTTTAAATAAACGTCGGTGCATTATATCTGGACATATAAATATGTTTAGTAGACTCGTAGCTTGAGAAAGCGCGGGATCTACTTACTACACCTTGACTGGCGATTCTATTGAATGTCATTTCTTATTTGCCCTGCATTTAGTCTTGCCTTTTAATAGGCAAGATCATGTCATTATGGTCAGGTAGCACCTTAAAATTATAGTACGCGGCAGCTCCAATAAATCCATGCCAGCAACCGTGAAAAAAGCGGAATGGATCATTGTCGTCATCGAGTCCGCGAACAAAGCATCCAATGCCACATAGTAGCAATAGTAATCCTCTTCGGAACTGCTGCAAATTGTATTGGGGCACCCGCCTCTTCAATGTAAAACTAATCAAGAGCAGTGCGAAGCTGCTAGCAACGGGAATAACTGAATTGAGTTCGTCCCATGGGTTTTTCTCCTGGAACACTAGCACCATTGCCAGAAAGAAGTACTGCACATACCTCTCTAATACTGGATGACGCAGGTCCATGAGGTGTATACTCCAGATAATAAAACTCATGATAGACCCCACGTTATCAAGTCGGTGCCATTGGCCTTCTGTTAGCCACAAGGGGCCATCGATGCTGTCACAAACGTGATACATAAAACTTGTCACCATTGTAAAAATGCCGATAAATGCCTGGACATGAGATTGTATACGTTAGATCTGAGTTACAACTACCTTATTGTATTCTTTCAGCATTACATCCGCACCTCAAAGACATATTTTCGGTGGTAGAGACTGTATATTGCAGGAAACATGCACATATTGGTTGCTCCCGTCACGGCCAGCATCATTGTCATTTCAAAAGAGGTCCTCATGCTTAGATAAGTCTTATCAGCAGGATGTAATGTATTAGAATAATCGATTACCTTTGAAAAGGCTTTGTTTCAATGATCGTATTGAAGGGGAACACTGCATTACATGCTAATCTGACTGTTGTTAGTATGGGTACATTTCGAGTACAAAGAATTGAGGCTTTTTGAATGCATGGCACGTAGCCGAAAGGCTAATGCAACGTAATTTCTTTTAATTTCTCGGGATTCCTCCATATTGGGGGACATACAATTAGTAACACCAGCTAATGCAGCTGTCCAATTGAAGCCGTACGTACTTACAGAAACATTTGAAAAGATAGGCTTGTCATCTTTCACGTCACCATTCACGAGTCAACCCTAAATCACAATAAAGAACTCGCTCGACATGTAGTCAAGCATATTGAATAATTTCTAGTGATAGAACAGCATCATTATTTGATTTGCTCAATTACTTGCATGCAATGTCTTTATGATATCATTTGCGCCGCTTCTCATCTAGACACTTTTCTAAAAACAGTGCCAACAAAGGCTAACAACAATACGCTTTCTTAAACGCATATGAATGTAATTGTTCGTAAATTCTTGCCACCATTCTACTCATTCTTTCTTATTGCTGCTAAATTTATTCTAAAATAGAGTATTTTAGCAGAAAATGGCACAATTCTGATGTTTGTTACATATTTTTACTGGATAAAAGTATACAGTAGCCATTTTGCTCTACGGGTGGTGGAGCATCAACCGACATCGTAACTCCACATACTGGCGTCATAGTAGTGCGTTTGTCTCGTGTTAAACGTGTCTTTTACATTGAAACAACATGTCGAGCAGCTATAAACAAAAAAAGTTAAAGACATTGGCGACGCGTAAGAAAACGCGTAAACGCCGCATAGACGATGGCACGACGTTCGAGGATGATTCGTGTCGAACGTTCCAGCCACCGATCATACGGGATCCAGGATGGAAAAAGCCTTCAATTGATGTTGTAGTGTCTAGCATTTCCAAGACTACAAGGCAAAAGAAAGCCGAGAAAAAGCGGCGTAAACTTGCTACGGACCAAGGACAAGGCGAAGATGACGACATTGCGATCTTACAGCAAGACCCGGCCCCTAGTGAAGAAGAACAGGACTCGAACGCCATGAACTTTAACAGTAGTAGTGGTTCACTCCTCACACCTCGAAAGATGCCGCTACAACTGTGCAATTCAATGGATGACACGGTGGCCAAAGCTATCGAGATGCACGCTGATATTCGTCGTAAAGATGGTCGACAGAAGACCAGAGTGCTGCTACTCGTCGACGCTCGATCAATTTTCAAGCTGATGAAAAAGAAAATGAATATCCATTCTGAAATGGTAAAGTCCAAGAGCAGACGAGGTGTGGGCTCTGCCAAGAAGCCTGAGATGGTTTACAAGAACACGGGGCTAGTGAAAACGCCGCTGAACCACTTCAAGGACGTAAACAAGAATGTTCTCATCGGTTACAAGAGTGGCAAGTTATCGTCTCTCCTCGCACAAGATTTGTCTTTCTATCCATACACCAATTTCAAAGTACAACACGTTATTTTCGTGGCAAAGGAAGCGGCATCGGCAATTAACTTGGATCGTACATTGCTGCAAAATGTTGCAATGCACTTGTTTGTCATGAACGACAAGAACACAAGTGGGATATTAGAAAATGACATCGAGGTTTTGAATAAAGTCTATCAAGTCACGAAAGCGTAACGTTGGATGCATTTTCTTGATAGTAATAAGTTCATGTTGAATTCGTTTTTATACTGTGCAATGCTGGACGTGCACGATGCTTTCATGGCTTCAATCCTGTTTTTTTAATCTTTATTTGAGTATGAGACCTGATTCATACGAATGTGGTTCACACTGTCAACAGTCGATCCTCAAGCAGCCACGAAAGATCGGACATTATTCAAAACCCATTCAATCGCTATTCTTAAAGAGTGCCTCAAAACAACCAGTATATATTTCTTACTATGGTGAATGTAAACACTCCTAATGTTCCAGTACAAGGTCAAGATATGGAACCGGCTGATGTATCACGATCCGATGTGTGGTCTGATCATTTGGATACAACTGACTACTCTTTGTTACTAGGATTACCACTAGGTTCGTTAGTAGTGATTCTCTTTATATTGCGCATACTCTGGCGTCCGAAATCAGGTCCTAAATTTCGTCTACCTAAGCAAGTTCCTACGTACGGAAGTGTCATACTTGACGATGAAAGTTATGACTATGATGGTGACTCCAATGATCTCATTTACGCTGGTCAAGTGGCAGGACGTTACGATACACGCTGGACTCGTACCTTTGACTTTGTCTTTCTTGTTGGCATGCTATTCTTTGGTGTAGTCCTTATGGGCTTTACATCACTCTTACAACCTGATCTTTGGTACAATACGAGCTTTTGGGTCTTTCTATTGCCCAAAGTGTTTATTTTGATGGGCGTATCAACGCTTGGAGGTATTATCTGTCGCTTTTTCTGCATCGTGGATGATGCTGGTTACGTGATCACGGAACGCAATTCGGTGTTCAAAGTCAATTACACGAGGAAATTTCAATTGCTGGCAGCTTATATCGTGCCATTACTGGTTAAACCGGATGAAGAATCGTGTCCTATGTGCAATGGACCCCTTGCATTGGCGTGGGGAGACTTTGTCACACTTTTCTGCTTCTTGCTACTTATTAAACCAATCCGTGAACGCTCAACATTCATTATGCTGCAATTTAATTCATTGGATCGACCAGAGGACAGGCCGCATACGCTTAAGTGGATCGTAGCGGGTAACGTCTTCCCTGGTCTCTTTGTGCTACTCTTCTTCCGCTGGCTCTTCACTCGTACGACGCAGTCCGATCTTGTCTTTATTCTGGTATTCGTCACTAGCATTGGAGATGGATTGGCGGAGCCGATCGGTATTGCGTTCGGCAAGCACAAGTACTCAACGAGCACATGCTGCTCTAAACGCAAATACACGCGAAGTTTCGAGGGCTCAGCGTGCGTCTTTCTATCGGGTATTGTCTTTCCAGCACTACAGTATTTCGATTTTGAGACGCCTATGCAGCTTTGGCTCACGATGATTATCCTGCCGTTTGTGGCGGCCTACGCTGAGGCAACTGCGCCGCACACGATGGACGCTCCCGTCCTTATGGCAGCTACAGGTCTTGTGCTGTACACTATCATACACATCTTTTGATCATTTTCTACATGTAGCCCTCTAAGATCAGCACTAAAATTGAGATTACAACGAACAGAGCTAGCTAGCGTTTGTGCTTCACTGATTTGTTTTATCCTTCATATATAATGATTCCTCCTCTCGAACAGGCTCAGGTGGCACGTATTCTTTAGACGCTGGTGATGCAAACACTTTCTTGCTCTCCAAGAACTTTGTTAGCGCAGCCATGTGCTCATCCGTGAAGGGGACAGTAGATGACGCGTCCACTTGTAACCACGGGTGCTGGAGTGCCATTGCAGCAGGTGGGCGCTCGTGTGGATTTCGCACTAGTAAATACTCGATAAACTTCTTTGCTTGTTGGGACACCTTCGACTCAAGCTCGGGAGGATATTTAAACTCACCTTTAACAACCTTGTCTTCAATCTGTGAGAGAAAACGTGCGTCGAACGGGTATTGCCCAAATAACAAAACGTACGTAACGACACCAAGAGACCAGAGATCAATGGCAAAATCGTAAACGCCGTGTTTACGATACATCTCGGGTGCCATATAGTGCGGCGTTCCATTCATACCTGACATTTCACGGCCACCGATAGTACCCATGTGAGCCAAGCCAAAGTCAATAAGCAGCACGCCGTCCTGCAATTTCTGCGACTTGGACAAAATATTTTCAACTTTGATGTCACGATGTGTGATCCCATTCAGATGTAGATATGCCAGTACACTCAGTAGCTGACGAATTATCGCAGCCACGTCGCTCTCACACACTCGTGGAGCTCCTGGTCTGCATATAGCGTCTAGAATTTCACCTCCTGTAGCTCTGTCCGTCACGATCGCAATCTTGTTGTCATCCTGAAACACGTTTCGAAGGCGAAGAATTCCTGGATGATTGACGTGTGCCAAGATGGATAATTCCGACTGTATTGCTTCAATACGGTTAGGAGTGGATAAATATTCCTGCCGTATAATTTTAACCGCCACTTCGTCGTCACACTCCCGCTCTTCACGCTCACGTTGCTGTTTTTCCACCAACGTTTTAGCACTATTGTGATACATTGAACGCTTTTTCTTGGCTACAAACACTTGACCAGTCTTGCCTTGTCCAATTTGATACCGAATCTCGTACGTGTCCTCGAATGTAGGTGTCTTTTTGTCATGGTGTTGCCCAATAGCAAAAATACCTGAAGCATTCAATGTATTATCGATAACTTTCGTCTTCTCTTGAGCTCTTCGATGGCTAAAACAGCTTAAACACCAGAGCATTATACGAAGAAATGTTTTTTAGAGTACGTATTGAAATGTGGAATGTACGATATAAGATTCAATAATAATATCAGCAAATGATATCTAGCTATCAATGCCTTTAATTAAAGGCGGAACGGCTTTTCACAAATCGCTTCCGGCTTTCCCATCTCTCACGAAATGACGACCGATATAATGTTGCGAAAAGGTCGCTCCAACCCTTTCCCTCCCTTTTTTTTCGACAGCAGCAGTTATGAAACAACTTTTAGGTGGTAAAAAGCGGTATATATATCTTCTGGATGGTTTAAGCTCGGGGGATGCTTTTACGCTCAGCTTGTTGGTTTTAACGCGTAAAACCTACTTTAAAATAAAAGCATTTGTAGCTGTACAAAATCAAAGTTGCGTACGTAAAGGGTAAATTTGGCGTTATCAATAAAGCGGTGTGGCAAACACTCTGTTTGAAGTTTACATACATTGTAACAAGTGTAAGCTTGCCACCCATCCTCGATGGATAAATGAATGGATGGTTCGCACAGTATGATACTTATCCAATGCATTTTGCAGCCTTCTGTCAATTTGAAAAATTCCATGGCACTACTTAGCGCCCTTTATTAGATAAAGCACTATCCGTCAGATCATATCAAATTTCGTCATTAGTTTTTGTCGTAACGGTCGAAGAGCTCCATTCGTTCCTCCAGTCCCTTGCACCTGAAGTCACTGAACCAAACGGTATTGAAGGTATCACATGGTCAAGAACAAGTCTAAGACGATTCACAACGGTAGTAACAGCTTTAGTGCGTCTTTTGATGGTGCCGACGATGGTGTCAATCAAGTGGCCGTGACCTTAGGTGAACAGCATTTGTGTGCGTCTCCTCGGAGCGTTCATGCACCAACGCCGACAACTGCCGGTGTCAATGGTATGGACACTAAACAGTCGCACTGTCTTGTTATTTACACAGGTGGCACTTTTGGTATGGTACCAGATGAAAATGGCGTATTGCATCCTAGCAGCGGCTTTTTAGAAAAAAAGATTAATGAGATGGATGAATTCAAGTTTGAAAACATGCCTCGCGTGACCGTGAGCGAATGGATGGATCCGATTGACTCGTCCGACATGTGTCCTAATGACTGGGGTAAAATTGCTTATGAGATTGAGGCAAAATACTGGGACTATGACGGCTTCGTGGTGCTTCAGGGTACGGATACAATGGCTTATACAGCTTCAGCATTGTCCTTCATGCTTGAATACCTTGGCAAACCCGTGGTTATTTCAGGTGCAATGATCCCGCTACACTTCCCCCACAGTGATGCACGTCGTAATCTCATCATGTCGGTCATGTGTGCGACGTCGCTTGCTATCCCTGAGGTCTGTATTTACTCGAATAACAAGCTGCTGCGTGGCAACCGCACTACGAAAGTGGCCAACATGTCGGTTGATGCCTTTCACTCGCCTAATTTCCCATCACTTGCAGTGACTGGTGTAGAGGCTATTGTGGACCAACCATTGATACTTCCGTATCCTCGCTCGCGATTTCGTGTGTTCGCGGACTTGTCAACCAACATTTGCGTCTTCCATCTTGTGCCTGGCTTTGACGATGAGTGTATTGAGGCCTTCATTGAACGCCACAATGCTACCAAGAGCAAGGGAGAATGCAAACGGAAGGCGCTTGTCTTTGCTCTGTACGGCACAGGCAACGCTCCGCTGTGCAAGCACGGTTTCCTACGTCTTGTACAGCTCGCGATTGAGTCGGGCATTCCTGTGACTATCACGTCGCAGTGTGTGCAGGGCCGCACTCAGCTTGACACATACGCGACGGGAGTAAACCTGCTAAATATGGGCGTTATCACGTCGCTGGACATGACGATTGAGGCTTGTGTAGCCAAGTTGGGCTACCTCATGGGCAAGGGTTTTGAAGGCAAAGAGCTCAAGGTCAAGATGGAGACTGATCTGCGCGGCGAGCTGTCCATCGTGGATGCTGTGGCAAATGGCGAGGAAATGAGTCGCACGCGCCAATATCGCAAGACAGTTGTTCGCAACTTTGCCTCGCACTAAAAGGTACTAAAGGGTGTCATTAGTAGGCGCGTGGTATTGCAAAGACCATGTTCATTTCAAATGCTCATACAAATAAACCTGTACTCGACTTCATCTCTCTTTGCCTTGGTCATACTTTGCTAATTTGATGCTTGCATTCATTATATCAACAACTTGCACATCGACTTGGTCTCTCAGCAGGTATACACGATTTCTGCATCCTTTTTGGGTTTCTCGTGCGCTCTTCTCCTAAGCTTGCATCGTCATCGCTGGATGAAAGCAGCCACATTTGCTTTTACTTAATCCCGAAGCGTCACCTACGAAAACGCTGTAGCACCACGACACGAAATTTTCAAGCCAAACCAGTGGCCAGGACATCAGAATTCTAACACCACCGTAATTGAAATCTTGACTCTTCACAGGGCGATAATTGCCGTTTTCTATATCAGGAAGCTAAGCTTTACAAACCCGCCACCTGCTAAAAATATCACGACGAGCACAACACAGCCATATCAGGTTGTGGGTCTTTCACGATCATTCGCAAATGCGTGCCAAAAACAGGACCATAGCGACGTGCTCACAATTCAAGATCTGACGACCGCGGTATAATTGTAATGAAAGGCTCAGCAAAGGAGCATGACCACTGGAACGGACGCTATAATAACGATCACAGCGGCCAGCGGGAACAAATGCGGCTTGATAAGCAAGAATACTTGGAAGCTTCCCACGTGATGCCAAGCCAAGCTAGAAGATAATGTTTCTTTCAACCACCAGCTAGTGATAAAACACGGAAAGGAGCGTGCAGTGTAATCTCAAGTCATACGTCGTATTGCGCTAAAGTCAAGTTAGGCCAATGTCGTATTCATAGCAGCAATGTCGTATATAAAATGCTCGAGTTTTCTAACAAACGTAACGATAACGTGAATGCCCATCTTCTACCACCAGCGGGAGCGACCATTGTCTAAACCTGTGGACAACGGCGGCATCGGTGCTCCAGGATTATTAAGTTCGGTACAAAATACCGATCTCTCATTACCTTGGTCAACAGTTCTACTCGCTGTTTGTCGAAGTCCCAAACTGTTATTGTTGCTGTTATGGTTGAAACTGTTTCTGCCATGCCCTCGATTAGCAAATGCTAGTGTCTGTAGCAAAAACGTATCAAAGGCACCACTAGGCTCCATCATCAATGGCTTCGCACTCTAAACCAAATTTACAGAAAAAACAATACCGTCAAATCCACATAAAGTAAAAGTACTTGATACACTAAAAATATCAATTCCTCACCGATTCAATGCATGAAGCTGTACGAAACTCTACAAACCCCATTGGTTCCATGGTGTGTGTTCGATCATTTCGAGATAACAAGTCTTTCTTACTACCAACAACAAGTTTTGGTACATCTTGCAAGGTTGAATAGTTTTGTTTCTTTCCAGTTGATGATGGCAAGACACAACCTTTAAGGCTCTGGGTAGTACATAGTTCTTTACTCCAATGACGTAAATGCTCACCACTCTTAACATTACTTAAATCATAAACAAACATAATGCCGTGAATATCATGGTAAAAGGCACGACGACTGAGTTCATATTGACGATGTCCTCCAATGTCAAGGAATTCGATAAAAACTTCACGTTTTGAAGGTCCTAGACACTTTAAAAGCACGTGGACGTCACAACCAGTAGTCCACAAGGTTGATAACTTGTCAATACTCGACAGATTCAGTGACTCCAAGCGACAGATTGATCGTAAAAGCGCCGTTTTTCCCACGCCAGAGTCTCCCACGACCAGTACACGAACACTTGGCGTTTCCATTTATCTGTTATGATACATAATGGTATTATGATACTTGAAGGGTTATTGGATTCTTGTGCTTCGACAAAACAATGCTACATGAAAGAATAGAGGTCAGCCATGCAAACTTATCAGGTTCTAAGTACACCCTAATCTGACAATTTACTGAGATTGTCATGAAATAAAATAAACTTTTACTTGGTATAGATGAAATTAATTTTGTATAACTCACAATGTCTCGAACTGTCGCAACATTGTTCAATCGTGTCGTCGCATATCACATGTTTATGTGGCATGACCTTCCACCACCATGTCTTCTCCCATCGGCCATGCACGCGTAAAACGACTGTATCTTCTACCACTTTATAGACAACTCAAGAGGCTTGGATACTTCAAGCTGTAGAATCTTCTTTTCCCCCATTTGTCATTTGATCTGCGACTCACGCATTTAACGAACCATATGGCAATGTTTGATTGCGGACAAATTCGTAAAAATGTGAAGACTCTACCTCATTCCAAAGCAATCCCCCAACTACACAAGCTCAACTTCCACTCACCACTCTCATCATTATGACCAACGTCTTCATCTTTAAGACCGCTGCGTTGGTAGCAACTCTGATAGGTTGTGCCAACGCGAACCTGGAAACTGTAAAGCTCACGAACTTGTACGGCTCTTCCACCGAGATTTTTCTCTTTGGAGCCCACGTGAAATCATTTCATGCTGCAATGGACAAGGACCTTGACCTTTTGTTCATGTCAAAATGTAGTAAAATGGATGGCAAGCATCCCGTTCGTGGTGGCATTCCCATCGTGTACCCAAACTTTGGCGGTGCCCTGAAGCAACTCGGTGCTGAAAAGCTACCAGGCCACGGTTTTGCCCGTGTTTCTAACTGGACCTTGGTCCACAAAGCGAATTCTACTGACAAAAAAAAAACCCTCTGTGGCCATCTTCAAATTGGTGTCCAGCGACGCGACGCGCAAGATGTGGCCGTTCGATTTTGAGCTCAAGTACGTGGTAAAGCTACATGCCAACGCGTTGGAGACAGCTTTGCACGTGCGCAATACGGACACAAAACCTATCAAGTTTCACGCACTGCTTCACAATTATCTTGCGGTTGACGATGTGCGCAAGGCAGGCGTCTCGGTGAGTGGTCTCGACGGTGTTGTCTACTTTGATAAAGTAGCCAAGGTGACCAAGAAGGAGGACCGCAAGTCTATCAAAATTATGGGAGAGATCGACAACGTGTACAAGAAAGCCCCCGATAGAGTGACTGCTACCATCACGGGTGTGAATGCTGTCGATCGCTCTGTGGTGGTTGAAAAGTCGGGTTCGATCTGCAGCGAAGATGGCAAGGACAAGACGACGGTCAAGACCGACGTTGTCTTGTGGAACCCGTGGGATGAACGTGCCAAGACGATGCCGGACTTTGGTGCGGAAGAGTACAACAAAATGGTTGCCATCGAACCGGGATATGTGGACGAGCAGTTTACTCTTTCGGCCGGCAAAACCTTCAAGCTTCACCAATCCATTTCGGTTTACACGTTGTAAGGTTTCGTTTCCATGATGTCTGTTTGAACAATGTGGTGGACCTCCTTAAACTAGGACCTACCACCTCAATGAACAATTCCAACATTTTTGCTGTCGACATGAAATTATGTGTTCTACATTATTTTTACATAACAAGCCCCCTAAAACTTGTTAACCAACTATTTTTGTCGTTATTAGCCAATGAAACATACACTTGATAATTGGAAGGTCTGCGACAATTCTGGTTGACGGCATTGTCAAGTCTCACTCCCTCACTCCCCCCTCTCTCTCTCGTGATAGTAAGGAATTAAAGCCATGAGCAGCGCCATGAAAATGGACTTTATCTGCAAGGAACCACAACCTCTAGATACGGATGACGTGGGTATTAGTGATAATGAAAATTCAGAAGATGAACAGTTAGAGCATGCAGCGTGGCAAGATGTGGATTTAAATCCAGCTGTGGAACTCGTCGCGAAACTCGTGCGGGAATCGTTGGATGCTGGTAAAACATATAATAAAAGCATTACAGCCAAGACATCGCAGCTTCTGACAGGATGTGACAGTATATTATTAGAGATTAAAAGCTTGGTAGAAGTCCGTGCTGAGTCTCGTCAACGCTCGGGTCAGCGCCTTGGACAGGGCGATAATTGTGCATGTGGTCAAGCAATGACCATGTTACCCTTGCGTAATCCACACGAATCATTAGCTACTCATATGGAATACAATGACGCATCATTTAAGAAAAAACAAACAGTGGATGAAATGACAGAAGATCAGACAGACCACGTGCTGGCAAAAATGGAGGCGACGATGATCAGATTAAAAGAAATGGCAGAACTTATTCAGGCTACAAGTATGCAGGGGGAAGCTAACTTGGTGTCCAAAGTATCGCTGCAAAGCGGCACTTTCCAGGCTCTTGAGGCAGCGGTGCAGGCAAGTGCTGCAGCAGCCACGGCCACAGCTATTGCGCAGGAGCGAGGCCGCTCATCTTCAGCTTTTGGTAGACTGTGCATGCCGCTACAGGTTCAAAAACTGCAGGAATGGTACTACTCGTATCCACGTCCGTTATTAGACGAACTGACGCTTATGCGTACGATTTTGAACTATCGACCATATGCTAATCCTTTCCAGGTGGGCGGACTGACGCTGGCACATGTGCGCGACTGGTTCAAACGACGTCGGTTTCGAGAGCGCATGCGATATGTGAAGCTAGCGGTAGAAGCGGGTCATGATGCCCAAGCCGCAGAGGAGGAGATTGACTTACGTCTTGAACAGAGGATTGCTCACTTGCGTGCCTCTGTCGACCCGAATGACCTGGTTAAGGAAGTCGATCGCGTACGGGCCCAGAGCTATCTGTATGACGCAGCTGTAAACGCTTTTACGAGACCGAACAATGTAAGGTCTTACATAACAGCGTCACATTCAGTGCCGATTACTGCAGAGCAACATGGAAATAACGCCAATGGTCGCGGTAAGCGACAGCGTACGCAGGATTCGGAGCTGGATGACATTGCGATGGTCAAATATGCCACCGTCTTGGAAGTAATGGCCTTGCAAAATCGACTACGCAGCTTGATGGAGCAGCCGAAGACGACGGTGGTCACGAACGGATTGCAGCAAGTGGTCGATTTGCTCCGTGCTATGAAAGTTGATCCTGACGTGCGTATTCAGTCGGGTCTTGTAGCGGATTTGAAGCAAATTTTGAAGGAGTATACGAAGCCAACATTGCTTCGCAAGGCCACAATTGCGCTTTTGGAGAGCTTGGGAATGAATCGTCGCGCTGTGGTGGAACAGGATGCAGATGAAGATGCTCCATTGTCCGCACCAGCAAGTCCAACGCTGAGCACATCGTCAATTGCGAGAGGACGAACGAAACTGAAATTTGAACACATGCCGATGGATGGTTCAAAGAGTAGCAGTGCAGTTTTTGATGGCGATTCTTCCCTTCTGTTGGCAGGAGAGCCGCCGAAAAAGAAAGCGACGCTCGCTGTCGAGCCTCGTGGGAAGGAGAAAAAGGGGCGCGTTTTGCGTCCCATGAAGTTCTCCATGGATCAGCTGACAGCGCTCGAAGCATGGTTCCAACAGAAGTACAAACCTTCTCAAGACGAAATGGAGGATTACTTGGTGCAGTTGAATACGCCTCCGCTACGAGACCTGAAGAAACAAAGAGTAGATGTAAACATGACACAGCTGCGGCGGTGGTTCAATAAGCGGCGGTGCCTCCGTCGCCCCCCCGTTTGCGTTGATGACACAGCAAGAGGCTGCCAAGGAAGGATCAAAGAATCCTGCGGTTCTCAAGGCAGTGTTAAGTCCTAGCAATGTTGTCGAGCCCGTGGAAAGTATGAATGTCGATGGCGATGTTGTAGATGCGAGCTCAGAGATTGGACCCCGCTTGTATGATAATACTAACGATATTTCTAGCGACGACAACAACGACGATGATGACGATGATGATGTTGACGACGACGACGATGACGACGACGATGATGATGGCAGCAGTGACGATGGCGAGCATCTTATTGACCAGGCGCTGGCCTAGTCAGTTGTACGCTGCTAGTTGATCAAGAAAAACAAGGTGATCGCCACCTTTGACGTCGTGTATTTCAGTTGGTCGGGAGGCTGAGGCACCGATCGTCATATATTTGAATAAAAGAGCTATACTTTGATCATCTGCATCTGAAGCAACAAGATGTACTACGTCTAACGTTAGTACCATTATGTTTATGTTGATCGCTAGCTTCTTCAGCATCAGTCGTATGCAGTAATCTATACGGCTGCTTCCCCTCAAAGTATGCATGTTGATTGTCGTAAGTATCAAAACCGTTGGGGTCTATACGAGGAGACAAGACACAGACACTCTAAAGGATTGCATCTAGCGTCGAAATCGTCAGGGCCGCCAATTTCAACAGCATGACATGGTGATCGTCGTAAAAAAGCAATGCGACGTCATGCCCTATCGACAACAAAATGCTCGTACAGAAGTGCTATAGTTTTTATTGTCGGTGGCATTCCGATGACTGCCGCATAAATGTTTATGCAAGAGTTGCTGCACTTCTTCAACGTAGCAGTCACATCCGTAGCTTCAATTACTGAGCCTTACAATGTCTTTGAATCGATATGACTTGTATTTTCTTTCCTGTGGCTTGTGTTGATTCCAAGTGGTCATAACTATGTCGCGCTTTCTGTGCAAAAAGTATCCTGCAAATACAGCTCCTCTCTCGTTTTTCGAAGCGCAACTGTACGTCTGACTGTGGCATGATGGTCTTGACAAAGGATGACGTAACCAAACCGTACGTGTGTGTGTGTGACTTTGACCGAATCACGTCCAGTTCTGCAGGTGTTCTTGCTCTTCGCACTACTTCAGGTCTAGTTTTATTCTTTGAACGTTGTTTCTTCTGAAAGACGTTAGCTGCAGAGCAGACACTACCGTAAAATCCAGTCTGTTGAAATTCACGGTCAAGTGTATCTCGTGTTTGCTAACCAGACAAGATAGTTGAGAGCGCTTACCTGTGAATCAGCCCCTCACTTTCAGCATACATTGCTTATATCGAAACACGACAGGCTCGCTGCAATCTTGTTCGTCTCTTCCACATCCACATCACCTAAGGCTATCAAAAGAATACGCAGTGTGCAAACCATTCACATATTGTTCATACATTACAGGGTTGAGAAAACCAAAGTGTATGATACCATGCTTCGTATTAAGTATGAGAAAACACACCAACCCAGTCGGAACCAAGTTAGTGATGTCTTAGTACTGCCAGTGTCACTACAATACGTGATGAAGAAGGTTGGCTCGACCACGACAAAACCAACAAAATCTCTTCTACAAACGCCGGCATAAACCCTTTCAATGTGGTGTCCGAAACCACGAAGACGACCGGTGCCTGGGATTTCACGTACCTCTTCTCGTCTTTGCCAGCAGGACTATTCTTGTTGCCGGTACTAAGAGTAACACATGAGAGCAATAGAAAAACAATGCGAATAGTTGCACTTACTACTTTTCTGAATAAGTTTCGCCTTGATAAGCTTGAAGATCATTAGTGACATGTCCGTATACAAAAGCTCTATTACTCCTCCTCCAAAAACTATGACACCAATAATCAAAAAGGAAGATGGAAATGTCTCACTTGCATTAGTCTTTTAGATTTGTTAGAACTGGACCGGTTTTGTTAGAGATACCGATTGAATAGGTATTAATTGTAGGATCAGTACTTTCTGCCCAAGCAGTCAAATAGCTAGAGACGGTGCAGTTTGAACAATATACTGTAGCAACCGGATCTTCATTTACTAACTTTCGGAATTTGCATAAAGAGACCCGTTTGCGTCATTGTGCTTGATTCATTGCAACATTACAAACTGATTAAGACCGATACGTGACTTTTTACGGACATTGTAAACACACAATCTGCTAAATTCAAACGTCTCAATGTCGAAAACACAACGACAATTCACTGCGTCATCTTCAATGTCAAGCTACTACAATACCAATGGTATCTCTCCTTCATCTGGTATACCAACGTACCTGGAGCTAACAGGTCAAGTAAAAAATGTATTGGCAAGACAGATTGCTGCTGCGGTTGAGGATGTACTGGACAGTATGATGCATGAAGAAACTGAGGATATTCATTGGCGTGGTAAGATGCGGAAGGACGGAATCGTCTACTATGAAGACACGGAGAGTGTGACGAAGGACCAGACACGATTTTGCTGCGTCGATACTACGGACACATCTGTCGAAGACGTCATTAGTCTGTTTGTAGTGTCCGATACAGACACGTTACTGCAGCGATGTCGCATTATGTACGACAACATTTTGGACGCCCGGATTCTTAACGTGCTAGAGAATCCATCAAACGAGCGTCCATTACGTTCGTCCTATGTTCGCTACACTGCATTCAAGGCAAGAACACTGCAACGTAAGCATCGCGATATGTGCGTCGTCGTATCCACCGACGTCATTCAATGTCCGGACGGATCAACGTTTGGCTATTGCGTCTGGGACTCACTTAATCTACCTGATGTGTCCCAGTTGGATATACGACAGGGTTTCATCCGAACTCGCATGTTTCGTTCAGGATACTTTGTGCAAAACACAGGGCTACCTGATGCTCAGACTAAGGTAGCGTACATTGTAGGCATTGAGACGGGTGGACTAGCCCCACGACTTACAACCCGCTACTACATGCCCCGATTTGGTGAGGTTCTCAGCCGAGTTATTGCCCATTTCCATCGAAGACAGCTTGATCCCTCGACATTCGTACCTCAGTCCGAATGGGCTGACAAACAAGCGGCGGAATTCTGTCAATGCTGCAGTAAACATTTTGGCGCGGTCAAGTTGCTGGACGCTCGCCGATATAATTGCGTGTCTTGTGGCGATGTGATTTGTCACGCCTGTCATCACGTGGAGGAAGTTGACATCCCCAGGTCCAACAATACAAAGGTAGGGGTCTGTGTTGGCTGCAAAACAAACAATAAGCGCAGGTGGTTGTCTCGTGTGTTGCAATGGTCGAGAAGCTTTTCATCGGACTCGACAGTATCTTTGACAAGGTCTATGCTATTATAAACTTGGCCATCTAATACACTATTCTATCATAGTAGTCAACAAGCAGCCAGCTGGTACATGTCAGGAATCCATATACCTGAAAAGGTTAGAGTGAAGTGAGGGGCACGCTGCCGCTAGTGCGTAAAGCAAACGTATGAGGATTGCAGCGTAGCACCACCAAAAGAGTGAGGTTATGCAGTCTGCCCAACTTCAGCGCAGACTAGAAGCGGCCCCAATCTAAGTCTCATGAAATCTTCTTTCGCGAATCGTACTCACTTTCCTTGAGAACATGTGTTTTTTTATCAACAACAGATCTCGATGTCAATCGTGGACATTCCACAGCGCTGAGGCTATTCTAGTCGGTGCAATGCAATACACTGACTTTATGGGCTTCAGCAGCTTTTTTTGAGCCATTCTGCATATTCCACTAGGTTGATTGTGGGTGGTGTCGCGTTTAGCGACAAAAGCTATTGTACAGAAGACCGAGATTCCAAATTGTTTGGTTGGATGGTTAACAGATACTATTGTAGTGGAAAAATGCATTCAGTACCTCGAAGCTTGTCCTTTGCTTGTCTGCTGTTGTTCAGCTACTACAGAGATGCTGGAGCTTTTTGAGATCAAAATCACTGCGATCTGTTTGCAAGTCAACTACCATCATCACGATTCTCGCCTATGATTCTGGCAAAAGATGTGTAGAATGTGCAACCTACCACAGTTTCCGTCCGTTAACCTATACGACGACTTTCGATTGACACGGCCTCACAACTACAACTGAATGTAAGACTGAACGGGAACCGAATACTTTTATCATCAATCTCGGCATCTGTCATTAATACATTGACTGCAAAATCGACACATTCTGCTTCAAGTGCAGGCTCAGCTTTATCTGCGCGCATATAAAATCAAGTACCATGGCCAAAATCAAAGTGGCTAAGCCCTCAACACAAGCTTCGTTGGCACGGATATTGACAACACCGCCATCGCCATCCAACGGAAGCTACAACGATGATAACATGCAACTCCCAACCGGGAATCCAAAGCACTTAAGACTCTCCTATCAAGTGAAAAGCTTGCTGGTGAAGCAGATTTACGCTGCTGTCGAAGACGTGCTGGACAGTATGATGCACGAAGGCACGAAGGACGCCCACTGGCGCAAGAAAATGCGCAAAGATGACGTCGTGTACTTTGAAGATAGAGAAAGCGTGACGAAGCGGCAGTCACGCTTTTGCTGTGTGAAAGTTACGGACGCATGTGTAGAAGATGTTATCAAATTTTTCGTAGTGTCCGACACAGATATGCTGTTGCAGCGGTGCCGCGTCATGTACGATAATATCGTGGATGCTAGAATATTGAGTGTGCTTGAGCAACCGTCTAAAGAACACCCAATGCGTTCCTCTTACGTCCGCTACACGGCTTTCAAGACGCCTGCATTGCTGCGCAATCATCGTGATATGTGTGTTGTTGTGGCCACGGATGTGATCCACTACCCGGATGGGTCAACGGTGGGCTACTGCGTCTGGGACTCGCTCCATCTACCTGATGTAGCCGATTTTAACGTGCCAAAGGGTTTTATTCGCAGTCGCATGTTCCGGTCGGGCTACTTCGTCCAGAATACAGGAAAACCCAATGCACAGACGAAGGTGGTGTACTTAGTTGGCATTGAAGCGGGTGGATTTGCACCGCAACTGGCGACACGCTACGTTATGCCTCGTTTTGGTGCCGTACTCAACCGAGTTATTGCTCACCTCCGACGTAAGCAACTCGACCCATCTACTTTTGCACCTCAATCCGAGTGGACTAATAAACGAAAGGCCGAGTGTTGTCAGTGCTGTAGCAAACACTTTGTCGCTGTGAAACTACTGGACACTCGTCGTTACAATTGCGTAATGTGTGGCGATGCAATCTGCCATTCTTGCCGTCAGGTTGAAGAGGTTGACGTGCCTGGTGCGAAGAATACACAAGCGGACATTTGTGTAGATTGCAAAATATCCAGCCGTAAACAATCTCAACGGTCATACTGGTCACGTTGGGGTCTAAGTTTAATGACTGACTCAACAAAGTCTTCGATCTCGACAAGGCCTATGATTGTGTGAATGTTCTTTAGTCTACTATTCAATCATGAATAGGTCAGGTTAACATATAGAATGCTACTTGTTAATAGAAACACAACGTAGACAACGTGTATAGCTTACAGCACTTTGAGACTTTCGTACACCAACACATATCTTAACAAGTAGATCAAATTGTAGCGCAGATCTTTTGGTCGCAAACTTACATCATTCTTTTGTTACACTATTCTAATATCTCTTGCGCGCTCTTACCGATACCTGAAGACCAAGTTGCTCTCTAGCACCGTTGACACCTGTAAGTAATGTCCCTTACGCCAGAACGAGTTGTTACAACCATCTTACGAAATTTCGGTTGTGTCTGTCATACATGGTCTGTAAGTATATAGTTTCTGCACCTGACTCACATTGGAGCTCACTCACACTAGCCAGCAAGGACCCACACAAGGAGATATAATCAACTTATAAGCGACAGCCATCAACACTCAGACCAAGTTGTGACAGACCTGTCGTCGATTCCACAGACTAAAGCTTGCAAAGTTGTGACAGACCTATTGTTGATTCCACAGACGCATATATTCGTGAAACAATCTGTTGCAAGTGCTGGTTCTGTATCGACGGCAACCGAGATCTGAGCAATTGATACGAGCGTGGCCACTTCAAACACAGCTTCTCCAGTAGAACATGGATGTGAATTTGTGTCTCATGACAATATCCTGCGTCCCTAGCTGTTGACGATCCTTGTTTCTTTAGTCGGGCAACAAGCTAACAACATTACCTGCACGCAGCGTAAGTCACACCGGTCGCTCTTATCCTCCATTCCAAAGGATTTAGCTCCAAACATTATCTAAAACCCACATCTGTACCTCGCGTGCTGCCCTTCTTCTAGGCCTCATTCTCATCAACGGATCTTTTGTCACCTTATTAACCAAATGACGTCTGTAAGGGTGAACCCGATGACCATGGACCGAACAAACTGTACGTGTGAAACCTGAGAACAAGGTTTCTTGCATTTTAAAACTGCTGTGATACGAATGGACGCTAGTGTTAGATTCCGGAACAAGTTGTGGGCGTTATTTAATATACATGGTCAAGTGCCCAAGTAATTGATACAACAATGCATTTGCAGTGACCACACTCGTATCAATTGCTAAAATCTCATCATTATACGGATAGTTGCCGTCGACAGAACCAGCACTTGCAACTGATTGTTTCGCACTAATATATGCGTCTGTGGACTCAACGATAGGTCTGTCGCAACATTGCAAGCTTTAGTCTGTGGAATCAACGACAGGTCTGTCGCAACTTGGCTACGTCTGAGTCTTGATGCGGTTGCTTTTATAAACTTGAAACACGACAGCCATCAACACTCAAATTGATCATATCTCCCGTGTTTTTGGGTATATTTCTCGCCACTGTCAATGTCAACAGAATCAGTTATAGCAGATAGAGCATATTTCTATTCACTTCTCTCTAAGTCCATGTAGTCACTGTGCTCAACAAGCCGTGCTAGGCGTGCCAGCTCGCACGAAAGTGTCCCCATAAAAAGAAGCTGGCATACAATAGCAAGTGCTTCAAAGAAAGCCTCTTGCACAGCAGTAAAGCCCAACGGATTCGGCCACAAGCCGTTTGCACACAGGAAAAACACACCAACTACGTGTCAAAGCAGAAAACATAACCAATAAGATATTTCAACCTCAATACACAGCTCGCGCACTTACATAGAAACGTAGATATCAGTCCGGTGTTGAGCATGAAACGACCAAGAGTGTAGGCTGTACAGCAATTCAATCGTTTCCAGTGACGTAGTGACAGCCAAAAAGAACGGCGGCGTAGTACTACTAAAAGACCATCACTTTTGAGCATTTTTCCATTGGTGTTCTTCATCTCGTCTTCATACAAAATGTTTCTTCTCACATTGTGCATAGCAATTATCGTGATCCATCCCGAGATGAAAAAAATAATGGTTAAGTTGACGTGTGCTTTATGATATGTCCGCATATCCATAATGGCAAGACCAAAAAGCGAGATGGCTGAAATCACTCCAAATACAAGACATCCATAACCCGGTGCTAATTGCCTGGTACTGTTGTCTTCAAGTTGCTGCTTCTGATGTCTCATGCGTAGACGTACATACCAAAAGAAGAGCGAGTTCGATACAAAGATACATATAGCCGTAAGGCACATGCCCCCCGTAAAGACGTAACCTTCAGGTCGGAACGTTGCAGCGTACGATAACGTTGGAAAATTATCCGAGCAGTGAAAGTGATTTGTGCAGGCCAATAGCTCAGTACAAAGCATAGTGGTGATACCGATGAAAGGCACGAGCAATGCAATGAAGCCCATGTTGATTCTCGGAGCCATTATTTTGGCTACAGAGGTCAATCTCACGTTCAAATTTGTATCAAATCGGAAGAATGACTACATTACTAAGTGTCTAGCTTGTGGTGCCACGCCACGTAACAGAACGAACTCTTTTTTTGGCATGATGTTGCGATAAGTTCATTATCATAAAGCCGAGACCACAACGAGCCAAGTGCCTAGTGGACGAATACAACGTGCTATGTATGCTATAGACTAGAAATGAGTGATATTGCGTTTGCAGGTGTCATTCATAAATGTGTAAGTTCGCAGAAGTGCTTACGTGGAGTGTAGCATTGTGACAAGGTCGAAGCGTCTCTTTTCAAAGTTAGAAAGCCGAGAACGGCGAGTAAATCAGCTGTGAGCGAGGCTTATGAAGACCTACAGCGTTGTGTGACAACGATTCTTTCCACATCCAACACTTACAGATACAATAGGTTTTCTTCTAGAATTGACGCTCGCGATTAATTTGCACGAGAGCGCAAGAAACAGCTTGGACATCATCAGCGGAATAATGTGCTGACTTGCCCGTACGAGCAAACACGTGCGCAGCTTTGCATTTTAGAGTGCGACGTCATCCAATTGGATTGCCAACATCTCGTCATGTCACCGTTTCAGCTCCCCCAGCCATAATGCTGGTGCATACGGTTTTCTTCTGCACGTGCGCTTACACGTTGCACGTCGTCGCTGCTATTGCATGCGCGTTTAGAAAGCGTGTCCTGATTTTCACGAACGGTTTACATTCGCAGCATCTCGTGTTCCAACAGCTCGAGGGCCGATACCTTCTACTCCAGCTCAGCACGAAGGGATCATGACTGATCTTTCTTCTTCGACACATTGATCTCTATTGTAGCTAGCTCAGCACAGTATAGTGCGTAGCTTTAACCTTGTGGTTTCACACCTTCTGAAGACTTGCGTTCAACGTAGGGTACTTAGACTCCAATTTCCGCCAATCTCTGCACTTTTGTCACGCAATGGGGTTCAGCATTCGAATATTCGTTAATCAACTCTTTTATCGGACGTAGCTAATCAGTAGGCATACCTTAACTGCAGAACGCAATTCATCCTCCACGTTCTACCATGTAGCCTAGTGCTCCTCTAGTTCCTTTCTCGTCTAGCTCTGCACTCAGCACATATGCTCTTGCGGTTCGACAATAGACGCCGTTTCAGCACTTTTCTTTTGCGACTTTATCCTTGTTGCAAGCAGGCACACAAATCTTGCTGCTGCATTTGTCTTGTGTTCACTGTCGTTCGTATGCTGCAACCTCAGTGTTTCAATCTCGTCTATGTAAACAGCTCACTCTTTATCTGCCCTATCGTTTCATCTAATTCTTATTATACTAAATGTAGTCTCAATAATTGCCTGTAGTTCGGCAAGTTGCTTGACCAGCTGAATGTGGAGCATTGTCAGCTTGCTTTTTACAGTCTTGTCATGCGTGGCTTCACCTGAGAGCAGAGCAAAATGGCCTTTGCATTGATTCATCGGGCGTAATAGCCTTTACGCTTACTCAGAATAGTATTATAAGATATTTAAGCTCTTTACTAAGCTTTCCTAAAAGGTGCAGGATCTAAATGGTCAGGTGTTGAATGGTCGGTCAGTGGACCTCGTCGTCAATAAACCTCGTGGTCAGTGAATGGATTGTCATTTCATAGTTAAAATGCTTATAAGATATAAGATGATGCTGGTTGGCTGACGATTATGACGGAAGTTGTAGCTATGTTACATACTTAGAAAATAGTGTGACACTATGATTCAAATCTGATTTGAACACTGATTGATTGATGCGTACAAAAAAGCTTGATGAATAAAGTTAGAGCCTGCAAAAGCTGTTTGTTTGGAGCATTAACAGCATATATCAGAGTAAAACCTTTACGCATCACTGATTATCTTTTTCTTTGTCAATACGTATACTACTATACATGCAGGCTCCCTTTAGACTAAAGACTAAGTAAAAAAGAAAGAAAAAATCACTTCAAACCCAGGGACTGATTAGAAAAGACAAAAACGTGGTTATACTTTTGTGACGTTACATCTAGAGCGCTACTAGTACTGTCCAGCGGCGCAGAAACGCTCCTCAGGTTAATGGATAACCTCGACAGATTTTAGGTGGTGGTCATCAGCTTACCAGCCCAAATGTGAACAGTGGATCTTAACTAGCGCGGCTTCTATTTGCTACGATTCTATGGGCAGTCACAGATTGGCCTTTTGTAACGAGCGAAGCCGTTGCACTACGAATCGTCGCCGTTGCCTGCTCTTGACCAACTGCCTTTCGAAAACGATCCAACAACATAAAGGAATTACTAGTGTTTCCAGACGATTGACACTAAGTAATACAGTTGCTTACAAGGCAAATCTAAAATAATCTAGTTGCAGGAAGAATACTGAGTTTTGGTGGACTCCAGAGTGTTGATGAATCTCGATGCAACGCCGTCACTTTCTCTTCACACAAAGTTTGCAGGACAAGGCGTTGCTGACCAAAACAAAAAAGCTTGAGCATTAGCGATGAAGGCCATTTGAGTGAGTAGTTGGTTCGTCGAACCTTTGCTATGAGACGTGAATTTAACGAGGAGACATGTTATACGCGTATGTGTGCACTGATGTCACTTTTAGGTAGCCAGAAATATGCGCATGGGTGTTCAATTTTTGGCTGGCGATGACAATGACGATAGTACTATTTGTCTTAAGCGATCGCAATAGCTCGCACGTACGTATTAAGAAACTGAGCTGGTCTATTCATACACATGTATTCAAACATTATTACCTGTGTTTCGATATATCTTTTACAGTGGATGTGTGAAACAGTAAAGACGTCAATCAGAAATAAAATGAACTACAGGATATTAATAGACAAAAACACTTACCTACAAAACCGTTTTTTGCAGGAGTAAAAAACTCCATGCAACGCTTTGACATCAAGGCCGCTACGACTTGTCACTTGGCGGTGTCCGACATTTACCACATAATATAATCTGCGAAATGTCAGTGAGAAAAAAGCAGCATTATTGCATGAATACATTCGATACCTATCTTATTTCATAGCAAAATATGTAAAGCAAAGGGTTCAGCAATGTATTTGAAAGGTTAACGTACTACGCTTAACGCGAGCCAAATGAATCCAAGCAGCAGAAAGGCTACTGAGTTGCAAAACCGGTGCAGACTTTTGCAGCTTCTTCAATAGCAGCCGGCAGTTTTAGCTCATTCATCGTTTTGACCAGATTCTAACGCCATTGCTGTTTAAACGTTAATAAACCTCAAAGGATAGACTCAAACCATCTTCTGCACCTCGTCGCCCATCGTGTATTCTCCTGTCACTATCAAACAAGTCTTACCCCATTCATTTGTTCCAGATCGTCATATTCACCGCAATGCGCCTCATCAGAGCAACCCAGGGCCGTGAGTACGAGAATAAGCGCCGTGATTCGTGTCGCTCACACTTTAAGAGGTGGCTGGACTTGAGCCGTAACGATGAAGCTGAAGACGAATGTAGTGAGAATGAGAAGCAGCAGAGCGAAGCACGCTACGCTTCGTTCCTCTCGCTTACTCGTCGTGCTAGCTCCGTGTCGCCTCTCGCCCCTAGTCTAAAGAAAGCCCAGTCGCCACTCGCAGTTAAATGGAGTTCGTACATTGAAGCTATTGGTCTCAAGGACACTAGCAGCAAACAACGTCGCGTTCGGTTTGTAGAAGACGATACTGAGCATTACGAACCTCTTGTACGCACGAAACAAGAGAAGCCTATGTGCTATTCTTCAACTGATGAACTGGATGAGATGGAGGTCTTCGCCAAGCAGCTCGTGCACCGCGGGTCTCGATTTGCCGACCAACCTGAGAATACTATTCTAGAACAGGGCTTCCTGACATCGCCTGTAAACGCGCCGTTTTTTCAGAATCGACGGTACTATTGCCTGCTTCGAGGCCATCGACTTCAAATGTTTACTTCCGCCGCGCATGCTGCCAAGAATTCGGGATTAAAGGAGAATCTTACGATTCTCAGAGTGCAGGACTGTGAGACATTGCCCATGGAGAAGAAGATTGCACTGTTTGGCACTGCGTTACCTATGCAGATCGGCCTCATGTTCTACGTGATCAAGGCGAACGGCGAACGCGTGATTTTTACAGCAGATACCAAGAGCTCGAAGCATAATTGGGTGCACTCACTCACACGCCTCACGTACGTGGGTGAGGGCGAGTGTTATACAAGCACACCTCCGCTTCGGAATCGTTCTAGTTCTGCCCCGACGCCACCTTCGTACATGCTACCACCAGTACCTGAAATTGAATTGGAGGAGGAAATATATGACGAGATCACTACATTGGGATCCCTCCTACTGGCGTCTGTTAATATAGAGCGACCTTTTTCTAGGTATCACCACCACAACCACATCCAAGGAGAGGTGTCTCGTATTTCACTACGTTAAAGAATACTTTGAAATAAGTTAATTGCAAGAAGCAATTGAAGCAAATTAAAAAATGTTCAGACCAGTAAGTATTGTAATTTTCATGTGTTCGTAATTTAAATTCTATATTATTCATGTTTTTGTTGGTTCAGATACATTAAGCTTCTTGTAAAAGTTAATATATTATATTACCTGCTAATGAATTATGAAAACAATTTATATTACCACACACGGCTAAGAGGACACGACACCAACTGCTTGGCTTGCGTCTTGATCGCCGTGATCTCCATCATTTGACCGTATTGACATGCACCGACGTTGTCGCAGTAACAAAAATCTCCAGACAACACGATTTAGCTTGTTATTACTCGAAGATGGTGAATTTTTTCTGGACGTACAGTCACGACTCGTTTTACTTTATACTTAAAATTCTGAGAGCCAGCTCTGAAGTTGAAGTTGCTTATGTTGCTGCTGTATCCACAGGATCATAGTGCGTGTCAGTATTTAGAGCCAAATGCTCTTACACACAAGAAAGTATCAGGCAGGATCAAGGTCTGCACTCGAGGATTATTTTTCGTTCCTCAAGACTTCCAGCTGCCGATTTTACGCTTTCCATTCCGTTGTATGACTTCAGAACCCGTGGCTGAATGTTTCTTGCAACCTCACATAAGCTTGAAAGTTTCACGTTATAGTACTGCAGCTCCCATAATTTACTTGACGTTCCAGACCCAGCAGGTGATTGAGATGAGAGAGCGAGGTATTGATCATCCATATATATACAAGGATACATGTAATACAAAAGTTATTCATGTCAGTGACACTCAAAGCTGTAGGACACCACCAGCCAAGTATATTTTTACTCTGCAACATGTGACGCTTGAGGCATTTCTCGCGAGCATTCACATTGTTTATGAAGTGTCGAATTTACCACGCCCATTGCTCACGAAAGCTGAAGAAGAAGCGTTATTGGCTCCAGTGTTAGCCCCAAGACTGACGGATCAATTTGACCCCAGCTTGCTTATCGATTTCCGGGAAAGACTACGTATGGATAAAGGGTGCGTAGCACATCGCATTGAGCCATTGCTCAAGTTTCCAGGCTGCCTCATGCTCACGACCCTGAGACTTTACTTTCAGCCGGCACCTCTGAATAACGTTCTTGATCCTGTGCTCAATTGGGAATATACGAACATTGATCAGGTCTACAAGCGACGTTATCTTCTTCAACAGATTGGGTTGGAAGTATGTTTGAGTAATGGTGACAGCTTCTTCTTCTCATTCCGCTCCCAAACAGAGCGTGACGATTTTTATGCGCTTTTGTTAGGCCAACCAGAGCTGCAACGCTGTCGCCGTAAGGACTTGCAGTTTATGATGCGTAAGTGGCAGCGACGCGAATTATCCAACTTTGATTATTTGCTGTTTCTTAACAATGCCTCAGGCCGGACGTGCAACGACTTGACACAGTACCCTGTTTTTCCGTGGATTTTGCGTGACTACACAAGCCTCGAACTGAATCTTGATGACCCTGAAGTGTATAGAGACCTGACTAAGCCCATCGGTGCGCTGAATAAGGAGCGCCTTGATTATTTTAAGGCAAGATACGAAGTCATGCCTTGCGGCGACGAAGCGGAGGGAATGCCGCCTCCATTCTTGTACGGCACGCATTATTCAACTCCCGGTTACGTGCTGTATTTCCTTGTACGCAAATTTCCCCAATACATGTTGTGCTTACAGAGTGGAAAGTTTGACGCGCCAGATCGCCTGTTCCATAGTATAAAAATGACGTGGGACGGTTGTATGTCGAATCATACAGATTTGAAAGAACTCATACCCGAATTTTTTGACTGCACAATTCCAGCAGGCGAGTGGCTGCAAAACAATAAACATCTTGATCTGGGAATTATGCAAAATTTTGGCCGTGTTGATAACGTGGTGCTTCCCCCCGTGGGCACATGGCGACGCAAACGAGTTTGTACAGAAGAACCGCGCCGCGCTCGAGAGTGACTTTGTTTCTGACAACTTGCACCATTGGATTGATTTAATATTTGGTCATAAGCAACGAGGAAAGGAAGCTGTTGAGGCTAATAACTGTACGACCTTGTTCAAATTGTTATACGGTGTATCGGAATACTAACCAGTGCGCTCATCTTCACTTGTTGCTAACAGTATTTTACTATTTATCATACGAGGGATCAGTGGATCTACAAGCTATTGAGGACCCCATACAGAGGTGCTCAGTCGAATCGCAGATTCAGGAGTTTGGCCAAACGCCAAAGTTGTTGTTCTCTACGCCGCATCCGTGTCGAAATGAGGGCGAAGGGAAGATTGAAGTGGCTACTCCGGACTTACTTGTATCGCCACGAGCCCTGGCTCCTCAAATTTGCAACGTCTTCTTTCCTCGTAATCGTTCGTCTGATGTTTGTCATCGACATCAAAGAAAAGTCGCACTAAGTTCGTTCGAAGATTACGGAGAGTCTGAAGGCGAAGATTATAACCATCGTCGAAGGCGCCACAAATGTGGTATCATCTGTATCCAGACGCCATGGGCACGTATTCCAAGTACTATCGAAGGCCTTTCCAGCCAACTATGGGGAAGTGTACGATCAGGCAAACCACCTAAGAAGTGGACGTGGAGATCTAAGCTTCGCACCAAGTACAGCCCATCAACCTCGTGGAGCTGGAAGCAGATTTCTGCTAGCCAGTTGCACAAAGGAGAAGTCACAAGTACCATTCTTTCCAAGGATTCCTCTTTTCTACTGACGACCAGCAAGGATAGCTCACTAAAATTATCCTCAACCCAGGATGTGGCCCAATATCGTACTGTGTCAGGTGGGTTTGCGCTGTCTTGCTGCGATATATCGCCAGATGAAAGTGTTGTGCTCGTTGGGTCATGGGACAATTGTGTGTACATGTACTCAGTAACAACTGGGCTTGTGCTGGACAAAGTATTTGCGCACTCGGATGGAATTTCTGCCATTCGTGTCCTCCAGAACCGCTTCTTCACCAGTTCCTGGGATTCAACTATCAAACTTTGGCGGTATACGTCAAGGCACATTATATCAACACCCATACGTACTTTTCTAGATTGCAAAGAGTCTGTCTTGTGCTTGGATGCCAGCTGTGACGGGGTTTTCGGTGCAGCAGGGACTCGAAATGGGTTTATCTATTTGTTCAACCTTGATCGAGCACTGCTACACAACCGCGTTCAAGTGGGATTAGAACCTGGAGCTGGAATCTCATCGGTTTCGTTTGCTGAAGACAATAGGTCGTATGTCTGTGTGACTGTACAGAGCGAGTTGTTTCAATTCAATCTCCGTGGTGAAAAGCTTTGGAGCATGGAGATTTGCACAGCAGGCCAAGTCCGATGCTTTGAAAGTGATGGTAACTATGGTGTGGGTTGCACAACCACCGGCTCCATTCTATTCTGGAAGCTACACGAGGCAGCAGGCACAGAGCTAGTCTACGAAATCCCACAAGCTCATGACGCAAGCATTAGTTCTCTTGCAGTCAGCTATTGTGGTTCAATCCTCGTTTCCGGTGCTATGGATGGTTCTGTTCATGTCTGGCAACTTTACAAGAAGTCATGCTTACTTGAAAATCGACAAGTTGCTGTATCTCTCTCAAGAGAATCACAAATGGTGACATATGGCTCCATTCAAACGTCAACGTTATACATTTCCAAGCCAACAACGACGGCTTTTCGACGTCGTAATGTCGTCTATTTTCCGAATTTCACAGCTCAATTTGCAGAAGCACAATGTTTTCTTGACTTTTAGAATATTATGAAGCCACAATGTTTGAAAAATCAAAGAATGTTTATTTTCAAAAAAGCAGTTTTGTTATGGATGTTTCTCTTGTTTTCACACCATTTCTAAATTATAATCAAAAACCTGTATCACTTGATATACTTTTGTGTCACCAATCAAGAACAACGAGTCTTTCTAACCACACAAATTTGTGGATTTGATTTAGCTGAATGAAGTAACAATCTTCCTCATTATATAATAATATGGAGGAATCGTTATACGATGAATTTGGGAATTACATTGGACCAGAGCTTCATACTAGTGATGATGATGATGATGATAATGATAATGATGATGCATCATCATCATCATCATCATTCTCTACTACTTCAGAAACTAATGAAAATAAAAGTACATTCAATCATGATGAAACTAAAGTGAACGATAGCAAACACCAAGTCGGTAGCTTATTGTTACTTCAGACAACAGACGATCAAGATACGATTATCCTGCATGAAGATAAACAGTATTATCCCACTGCAAAGGAAGTGTATCAAGATGCTGAGACGTTAATTATGGAAGAAGATGCACAACCAATTGAAACCCCAATTATTGAACCCCTGAAAGTCAAGAGTTTTTCCATTTTAGAACCAAAAGTGCCTCAAACGACCTATTCCAGTGCGTTTCTAACGAGTTTAATGGATCATCCACAACTTGTTCGTCATCTTGCAATTCTTGGTGACTTACATCATGGAAAAACAGTCTTTCTCGATTTATTCATACAGGAAACACATGTGGCAAAATGGGATCCAGCAATGGAAAAACGATTTACAGATTCAAGAAAAGATGAACAGGAACGAAAAGTGACCATCAAGAGCAATCCGGTATCGCTAGTTTTGCCAACGTCAAGAGGAAAACATTATTTGCTTAATGTATTGGATTGTCCAGGTCATGTCAATTTCTCGGACGAAACAACAGCCGCGTTGCAAGTTGCAGATGGAGCGGTGGTGGTAGTAGACGCGATCGAAGGCGTGATGATGAATGTAAGAATTGATGATCCGGATGAGAGGGAGAGTTGTTGTTTTTTGGAGAAAAACAAAGGCGTCAAGCTCATTGGTTGTTGTTGTTGTTATGTGTTATGTTAGACGGAGAGATTGGTAAAAGCTGCATTACGAGCAAATGTGACGATTGTTTTAGTGGTGAACAAGGTGGATCGATTGATTATTGAGCTCAAATTACCACCAGCTGATGCGTACTTTAAATTGCTACACACGATTGAAGAAATTAATGCGATTATTGACGTAAACACACCGGCTGGTCAGGTAAAACAACGGCTGTCACCGGAACTATGCAACGTGTGCTTTGCGTCGGGTCAACACGGATGGAGCTTCACGTTGGAATCGTTTGCCCAAATTTACGCCGAGACGTATCCCGGTGTTCCTTCGTCGACGTTGGCGGCGCGGTTCTGGGGAGACATGTACTTTAACCCTCAGACAAGGACATTCACGAAGAAATTGGTGAGTTTAGCGCAATACTTTGAAATATGCAGATTCTCATGTATGTTGCTAAACTGTTTGTGTTTGTAGCCATACCCTGGTGCATTGAGGTCGTTCATCCAGTTTGTCCTGGAGCCGCTTTACAAAATGTACTCGAAAGTACTTAATGGTGACCCGAAAGAGCTATCTGCGTCGCTACGGGTGATGGGCTTACGTTTGAGGAAGGAGGAGCTAAACCTAAATCCGCGGCCGTTGCTAAAACTTGTGCTTGGCAAATTTTTTGGCAATGTAACTACGGGTTTCGTGGATATGATCGTACGTCACGTCCCTTCGCCGCTTGCGACGGCAAAGACTAAACTCAAAAACATTTACACTGGAAACCAGTCTTCTGAAATGAGTATTGTGCGAGGCATCGAGTCGTGCGACCCAAAGGCGCCTTTGATGGTCAACATTGTGAAGCTGTACTCGTCTCCTGACGGCGCCACGTTTAGTGCGTTTGGTCGCATATACTCGGGTGAAGTTTGCGAGAACAAGGATGTTAAGGTTTTGGGAGAAGCGTATAGTGCTGAAGACGACGAGGACATGTGCACACGGACTATTGAAGGCGTGTTCATTGCTCAAGGGCGTTACAAGATTCAGGTTGACCGCATTCCAGCAGGCAACTGGGTCTTGCTTGAAGGCGTGGATGCTTCGATTACAAAAAGTGCGACAATTACAGATGCTGATGAGGATCTCCTGCAGGATGAAGAAGTCGGCATTTTCCAACCCATTCACCTATCCTATGGCACTACAGCTGTGATGAAACTTGCTGTTGAGCCGTTGAACCCGGCTGAACTGCCGAAGATGCTTGAGGGACTACGAAAAATAAGCAAAAGTTATCCTCTTGTTCGCACAAAGGTGGAAGAAAGTGGTGAGCACGTGATTCTCTGCACAGGTGAGCTGGCCGCCGACTGCATTCTTCACGATCTGCGGCGCATGTACTCGGAGGTTGAAATCAAGGTTGCCGATCCCGTTGTTGCTTTTTGCGAGACTGTTGCGGAGACCTCTTCTGTTCAGTACGTGCTTTACATGACCCTGCAAATGTGCTTCCACATGTTATTGACAAGTGCTGTTTGATCAAGGTGCTTTGCCGAGACTTTGAATCGGAAAAACAAGATCACCATGATCTCCGAGCCATTGGACGCAGGTCTTTCTCAAGACATTGAGCTGGGTGCCATCAAGCTGGACGTACGAATCGTGGCATTTATAGAAAAGTGTCTTGTACTGATTTCATACTGTGTATTTGTGGTGAATTAGATGAGTAAGGCAGACATTGCTAGCTTCTTCCAGAGCAAATATAAATGGGATGCTCTTGCTGCTCGTTCGGTATGGGCTTTTGGTCCCGAGAGCAACGGACCCAACGTTTTGCTCGACGATACGCTTCCTACAGAGGTGAACAAGTCATCGTTGAATCTGATTAAGGATAGTATCGTGCAGGGATTCCAGTGGAGTTGTCGTGAGGGCCCACTATGTGACGAGCCGATCCGCAACACCAAATTCAAGATCCTGGACGCCACTATCGCATCGGAACCAATTCACCGCGGTGGTGGTCAGCTAATTCCTACTTCCCGTCGCGTGGCCTACTCGGCCTTCCTCACTGCCACGCCGCGCATGTTGGAGCCCATGTATGCGCTTGAAATTCAGTGTCCTGCCGACACGGTGTCGTCTCTATATCAGGTCCTGAGTCGTCGACGTGGCCACATTACACACGATGCTCCTAAGGCTGGCTCTCCACTATACACAGTGCGTGGCTTTGTTCCAGTGATCGAGTCATTCGGACTGGAGACAGACCTGCGCGTGTTCACACAGGGCCAGGCATTTATCACCCAAGTGTTTGATCACTGGGCGGTCGTTCCGGGTGATCCACTGGATACCAATGTCGTGCTGCGTCCATTGGAACCTGCTCCAGTAAACGATTTGGCTCGTGAGTTCATGGTGAAGACTCGGCGTCGCAAGGGACTGAGCGAGGATGTGAACGTTAGCAAGTACTTTGACGAACCCATGCTACGCGAATTGGCGAGGCACGAGACCGAGCTGCAGAACCTCATCTAGACCACATTGCAATCTGAACATGGCTCCTGGAAGCAGCTTTCAGTCCCACATAGTCTATTAAACCTTGAACGGCGCACTAGTATCTCATGTCTTGAAGCTCTTTCTCTAGACTTTCATAACAAAAATTAATGGCTCCCTATTATCCGTAGCAATCGACTTGGACGAACCAGATAAAGTGTATTTGACGTTTACTAATGACAACCGAATGCACTTAAACTTCATAGTTCTTTCTCATGATGAATGAATCGCTTTCCATCGCTAGAAACCGGTTCGCAAGTATTTGGATAGCGACGGTCAAAAAGCCGAAATTTGTATTTGCTTCACGGTAAATGAGCCCAAAAAGCAGATGAAAACTAGATCTTGATACGTGCTAAAGCCTATTTATTACCCGACAAGGGTGAAGGGCGATGACTAAAAATAGTGCTACGATTGATTACGGAAGCGTGTCGAATGTTCTTCAGGGTTGATACCACATTGACGTATAAATAAGTGTGATGATGGTTTGCTAGTGATATGAAGATGATGGTACTGATGTTAATGATGTTGTATAATTTCTAACATTGATGGTTTAAGTGAAATCACTAATACTACAAACAAGCAACAAAGCATCAACAGTGAAAACATTAGGTTTCTGTTCTCTAACTTTTCTCGCCATGTTGACGTTTGTCACTCAAGAAGCAAGTATTCACAAACCTTTTCCGTTTCAAAAATTCAAAAGGTCAGCTACTGTAGCCAAGCTACTTATGCACTAAGTGCAGAGGAAGACAAGGTCAAAGAGCTTATACGTCTTGGGGTTCTTAACCCTCCCAAGGCTAGCTTCACAAAATTATGCCTTTTGGTTGTAAACAACCTCGTCTCCAAGAGACTAGTATCAGAGATGCAATTTCTTTTTTCAAAGGAATAGAACGCTCTAGCACGTGTGCTATTCAGAGCAGGTTTCAAACTGATTTATCTAAATGTTTGTCTTCTAGCACCAAATATAGAAGCACCTACTCTATACTCTGTGCTAGTCACTATTTACTGGCTCTGTAGCCTATTAATTTGTATACATGTAGAGTTACTATACTTAACTAAGTATAGTGACCACCACCCTTCGTACTTCAGGTACGGTCACATCAACCTACCGCTTTACACAGGGTACAGCCACACACACGACAATGGTGTGCAGGTGTGTATGTACGATACACACCTTGTGTAACCCCGTTACGTCCCCCCACCAATCCGTGGGACCCGACGTACCCACGATTTTCAAAGATAATTGGAAGCTCTGTCGATTTCATTTTCTTTTCACTTTGCTTGCCTCGCAATAGAATGCCTTGCACTTGCGTATAAAGCTTTCGTGTTACGACACAAGCTATTTGCGGCGTTCCATAATTGGCGTCTGAGTCACGTCGTCTATGGAAGGCGAAGTAATCTCGCGCTGAGCAGAAGCGCAAGTCTGAGCAACGTTGAGTGATTTGTCGAGAACTACTTGTGAAGACGCCGCTGACGCCATGCCAACTGGTTCTCTCCCCCAACAAGAATCAAACAACCGGCCAATCCGAGAAGAACAGGAACACTTGGATGGCGCGCATTGTTCACGAACAAGTGTGATAGCCCTGTCGAAGCGTGGACTGCGTTAGCGTTCAGATTACGATTCTTGCGCTGATGCTTCAGCTTCCGCCACCCAAAAGACGGACGATGATGATGCCTGTGCGGCTTTCTTAACATTCGGCAACAACTATACGGCTGTTTGTGCGATGAACTCTCTTTGCGTTGACATCGCAGAAGCGTATTTCCGCGATGGCTTCGATTCTCCAATTGTCCGATTTTTAGGTAACCCCTTGATGAATGCGGTACGGTCACTCTTGGCTTCACTCGCGCACACATCTTGCGCTATGCTTCTGATGGTAAACTGCTCACCTACCAAATCCATCGGTTCTATCTTCCGCTTATATTTGTCCCTCCTGACGGCGATCTTCGCGGGCGTATTCTCCACGAGTATCATGAAAGTGCGTCAAGCGGTCATTTGGGCCGCGCGAACACATATCTTGCGCTTTACACGTACGTAATTCTTGACTCCATATGTACAAGTGGGTACGTAAGTGGGCTCGCTCCTGTGAGGTTTGCCAGCGTGTGAATCCAGCTCCGTCGTCAGGCGCCCCTGTTTCCACTACAGATAGCCACGGAGGTTTGAAATGTCGTGAGCATGGAACTTGTGTTTGGTTTACCCGCTGATGTGTAGGGGCTCACCGGCGTTTTGTTGATCGTTGACCGGTTTAGTAAAGATGATGCATCTTTCAGCTGTTGCGGCGTCCATCAATGCGGAGGAGACAGCGGCTCTCTTCGTCGATATGGTCTTCCGGCATCATGGCATGCTTGCCACGATTGTTACGGATCGGAATCCTTGCTTTACCACTGCATTTTAGTCTTGGCTGTTTGAGATATTCGGCACCCGCCTGATGAAGTCTACCGCTGACACATTAAGATGGATGGTCGGAGTGAGCTGGTCAATTGCGTCTTGGAGAATGTGTTGACAGCTACGCTACTTCGTTTGCGTCGTGGAGGTCTTTTCATCCCATGGCCGAGTTTGCACTCAACGCGACAAAGCATCGGCAATGATGTTGGTCAAACCAGGCTTGTAATAATGCACAACAAAGTTGTTCTCCGCGAAGAAAGACAATTAGCGCTCCATGCGCTGGTTGAGATGTACGCTTTTCGTGGCAAAATGCAGGGACGCGTGGTCTGTGTAGATAGTGAATGTCTGTTTCCAAGTAAATAAACGCGAAACTTCACGAGCGCATAGCGCATTGCAAGTAACGCCTTGTCATGAACGAGGTAGTTTCGGTTGGCAGGCTTTAGCAGCCGAGGTTGTTATCTCAATACGCGTTCCTGCCCCACGGCATTGCGTTGCATCAGCGCACCGCCGATTGCAAAATCACTCGCGTCACAGACTACATGACTGGCGCGCCATGAATCGGCAGCGCTAACACGTGCGCTGTCGAGAGCCTCTTCTTGATCTCGTCGAATGCATCCTGATGCTCTTGACGCTACACCCACGTGGTGTTCTTCTTCAGTAATTGTGATAATGGATAAATCACTGCCGCAAAGTCCCTAGCGCAGTGATGCAGGTAATTGGCCAGACCCAACCATTGTCGAAGGTGTTTCTGGTCCTTCGGAACCGGCCATGAGCAAATGATGAAATTGTCTTGGGATCAGCGCAAACACCCTTCGCGCTTACTAACTGCACAACACTGGGATCTCTGGAGCGCAGACTATGTATTTATCCAAATTCAAATAAAGTTTGTTTTCACGCATTGCCTTGAGAACTTTGCGAAGGTGACCAAGAAGCACGTCCAATTCTTTCGCGCCATCGGATGCGCGACTATGCACAAAGATGTCATCAAGTAACTCGGCGCAAAGTCGCAAAATGGGCGAGGCACGTGGAAGACCATGCGGTTGAAAGTAGCAAGGGCATTCTTAAGCCCCTGCGGTATGACAAGCCAATCCCAAAGCATACCAGTAGGCGTGCTGACGCCGGTGAGCGGAACATCGTGGGCCGCATTAAGACCTGGTAGAAACCGTCCGTCAAATCCAAAGACGAGAATATTGTGCTGCTGACAAAGCATCGAAAATAATGTCCTTCCGAGAAATTAGCGTCTACGTTGGAATAGTGGCATCGCTCAGTTTGCTACAAGCATGAACGATGCGCCATCCTTCCGTATCCTTCTTGACACATAACGTGGGACTAGAATGGTAGACGTTCTCTCGCTCACGTGACCTGCGGCACGACGCCCTTCAAAGAAGGTTTCAATAGCTTTGACTTGGTCACGAGGGAAAGGCCGCTGTCGAGTACTGTCTCAGTACTTTGAATTGGGCACGAGATCAATTCATGCCGCGCTCCTTTATCCGCAGGGGTTTTTTCAGGGAAGACATCGGCAAACTTGCGCGCAAGCTCAAGAACAAGATTCTTTGACGCAGCAAATTCCTCCCAGGATTGCGCCGCGAAGTGCTATTCTTTTGCGGACTTAGGTTCATCCCCTAGGAACGATCGTTAGTGTTGAAAGCGGGTTCTTGAGAGACTAGACATAGTTGTTCAATCTCTCCCCTCTTCAGCCCACGCAGTAACTCATTTCAAGACAGTTCAGAAAGTTGCGTGATACCAGACGCGTCGCGAGGTGTACTCGCGACCTGTAACGAATATCTGAACGGACCAGAACCAGTCATGCTAACGAAATTGATGGTCTTGAATGGAGACGACGGCGGAAGAGATGGTGTCAAAAAGGGAGGACAAACACGAGCACGACACCAACGGCGAATACGTGACACAGGATCGGTCGTACGGAAGCCACTACTTTCGCGTAAGTCGTCGGAAGTCGCTTCTTTGACGTGGTGTTCTCCACAAAAACTGCTCGCTCGTGAATCATCGATATTCGCTGCTTCGATGCGGTTAGGTTTGAACTTCACGCACTGGAAGTCTCTGCTTTGGCGTAACATTGCAGCTCTCCCTCTCCCGACAGCCGCTGCTTGCTCGTGACGCGCAGAAGGCCTCCGCCTCCGTGCGGTTTCAAAAAAAGCATATACGCATGGAAGCCGCTGCTCGACCATGAGACTTATGTTGCCACCGCTGCGGGTTATATTGTTGACTGTTCGACTGAGGGGGAGCAGGTTGCGGAGTTACACACCACACTCGAAGGGTCATCGCACACTTCGAGGGTGTGATCAGTCGTGGAGTTGGGGTCCACGATAGCAACATGCTGCCAAATACTCGTCGGTGTTAAGAACAGCGAGAACCGCATTAACATCAATCTCACGTGGTTAAACCTTACGGTTCAGCCAATCAATATCAGATCAATGCCGTGCAACCCACGGCATCCCAAAAATTCAGTCAAATGAACCGCACAATTTTATAACTTGGAATTACTCACTGTTCTCGAAAGCATCGAACCAGTAAGGAAGCATCACCTAACGCTGTCAGTGCGTGCGGGGCTTTTCGTCTACATACTTGGTGATCATATCCCTTAAAAATTCGCGGACACGCAACCGAGACAGGAGAAAGGATAAGCTATCGGCGCAGTCAAAAGTGTTTGTTGCGCCTGAGTCCAGCGATGCGCGGAGTGGACGTGACGCACCGTCAACGTGAGTGCTAAGCACGATCAAACTCGGATCATTTCTGGACGTGGTGGCATTCAGCTGTGCATGGCGCTTAGTGAGGCTAGGAGACACGTGTCTGCACGGGCGACATGTGTCTCCATTTCCCCCCTAGTAGGACGCCCCACGCCTATTGGGTGCCGTCGTTTTGTTGTCTGATCAGAGGCGTTGACGGGGACGTCAGCAGTAGCAACAGCGGCAGCGAGCACTGGTGCAGGTGCACGGCATGAAGCCGCGTGGTGAACAGGCTTACGACAGCGGAAGCAAACCAGCCGTTCGGTGCTACAGGCTTCCGAGATCCGGGCTAGGAGCACACCGAGAGTACTTGGCGTGCTCGATTGCGGTCAAGCTCCATGGGCTCAGGCTCTTGAGTACCGCATCAGGAGGAGAAGAATATTCCATACGCAAAGACATGACACTGAAGTCTTCGCGCAACGCGATCTCAAACGCCTCTTCAAGAAGCGGAGGGAGCTACGCGCCAAGTGAAAGCGCTGATGCCCAGCGCTCATTCCCGTTTCGAAAACGTGGACTTGCGTCACCGTATCGATCGGATTGGTGATGATGCAGGACTTTAGGTGTCTTGCTTGCTGGATATAGTCCAGCATAGACAGGCAAACCTGCTTCAGCGCCAAGAAAGCCGAGATGTTGTGGTGCTCACCCTGTGGAGGCCCAAACGCCAGGAGCAGGTCGACCTTGAGGGCCTTCATACCCGGGAAACATCCCGGATTGGTCACAAGCTTGCTTGGCCCCTTGAGGTCGACCTCAGTACCTAAAGATAGACCTCGGTTCTTCGTGGTCGACCTCGGTCTTTAGTCGATCGACCGCGGTTCCTCGTGGTCAAGCTACCCTAGCCAATTAGCATCAAGAACTAGGTCTTAAGGCAAGGATAGAGCAAAGAAGTTAAAAGATAAGGTAGTATTAAAATACTGCTCAATTTGCGATCTACATAGCACGCCTCCGTCGTGCTTCCAAGGTACTTACTAAGTCTACCCACCTGTTCCGGGAAGGCATATATGTTGGCCCCCCGTCGAAGACAGTCGTGTGGTAAGACCCAAGTGAAGAGAGCCCCAGGATATAATGGCCTGTGGGCTCGTTTGAGTAGCATCCCCTACCCCATCAACAAGCTATCGGAAGCGGTCTCCCTACCCTTGTGGTTCGGGAGCAAGTAAAGACCAGGCGGTTATTACCTGAGATATTCAGGAAAAGGCCAGGGTTGAAAACCTCCCCTAAACAATTTGGTAATAAGCCCACCCTCGACCTAGTCGACCGAGTGGCCACCTTATAGCCTACCGAGTAAAGTATATCCACTCGAGGCATCCCAAGGTCGACCTCTTTCAAGGCCGACATCGGATCTCCACCAAAGAGCGCAGCCCGTCAGCCGACAGTACACAAGGTAAGAGGAGGTCCATATGCGGCATCGGGGTATTCCAACCAACAGCCATCAGTCCGGCACAGTGGGTGTCTTGTGGTCTCATTACGTAGTTTGAGAACCCACTCCACCACAGTTGCTTGACAGCGGTATGAGCAGCCATTTGTCAAGTGACAGAAGCAACTTTATGAACTTGGTCGGTTTAACATCCCCAATCTGGGTGACAGTGACCAATGAACAACAATTAGAAGTCAAATTTGTTGTGGAAGTGTACGACTGTTTCGTAAATATGGTAAAACAGCCAGGCTTACCGATGTGGTGTACGTTCCTAAGCTAGGCGGTAAGCTTCTATCGGTGTCAGCGTTCACTTCTCGAGGTATCTTCGTTCAATTTGAACACGACCATGCCGCAATATCATTCAAGCGTCAGTTGTGGCCGTGATTTCAATAGGTCGGACGACAATTGTTTTCGTGGCAGGTTCTCGTACTTTCCCGAACACCGCCAACAGCGCAATGATCGGATCTTCAGCCGAAAGCGTTAAGGATTTATGGCATTCAAGATTGAGCCATGTCTCTAATGCTAAGCTGAATATGATAATCAAGGCCTGCAATGAACTTCCATACTTTGAATATAAGGAGGGGAGGACTTTAAGTTTATGCAGTGGGTGCACGCTTGGAAAGATGACAACAAGTCCATTTACCCATACCTATGGTAGTGATGTGAAGACAATTGCTTCATTTGAGCTTGTTCACAGTGATGTAATGGGTCGATAAAACCAGTATCGAAAAGTGCGGCCAGTATGTATTTTGACCTTTATCGACGATTACACGCGATGTACGACTGATATATCCACAAGTTGTTGTCAAACGATTATAAAAATATACCTCACATACGGTCAGTTTGTACCGGAAAAGCACTACTTTTGCTATAAAATTCGACAGGTAGTGTCTAATTATCCGCCAATCACAATCTATTTGAAGTGCTGACGTACGCCTCCGTATCATTCATTCATTGTCCAAGTCATGGCTAGCATCGCATTTACCGCTATTATTACATTACGACGTACCGCAGCATCTTTATCAGGATATTTATGATTGTATGCATGATATAAAGAGCAATTGGAGCGATTTTAATGCCGTTGCAACGACACAAACGACTGTGGGGTCCACTCATGAAAGTATCAGTCGCCGTAAACAGCGTGGTAGCTACGATCTCGCTTTTCGAAGCGTCAAAAGTGCTTTGAATACGTCATAAGTGGATATTTCCGTTAGTTATTGAAGCACAGACGCAATTAAGACAGGACTGTGCTTTGCGCAGCAAGATGGAGTTATTGATTGAACAAGTGGTCGAAGAAATCAACGACAAGCTGAAAAGACTGAAGCTGAGAGGTACAAGGAGAGAGAGGTGGAGTTTGTTATCCGGAATTTGCATTTCGTGGCATTTTCCATTCGCTTTGGAGCAACATCAGATGAAATGGCGTACTACGTGCTTAAATGCTCTTGGATCCAGGTACGTCGGCATGGTCGCATCGTGTGCTAGCACTAGTTATGTAGTGGTGCGTGTTGACTTCTTGTGAGTTGCGTGGACAGTCTTCGTGAAAATGACAAGGAGAGTAACATGAAAGTTCTTTTGCATGGAGCAGCAAAAGCTTTGTACGATTGCTTGGATGACGAAGGATGTTGCAACGGGAGGTGAGTTAGTACGACCTTGTGCTAGTAAGATCTCTTCGATGGGACTTTGCAAAAAGAGGTATTGGGAGGCACGGTTCGAGAATAAGGAGGAGTTTGATTGGTACTGCAAATACTTGCACATACGTGAACTATTTGTGTCGTATGTCTCCAAGACGGCACGAGTTTTGGTTCCAGGAACTGGTACAAGTCGGTTGCCAGCTGAAATGGCCCTCGATGGTTATTCCGACGTGGTTGCCATGGATTACGCTGCGAACGTAATCAAGAAAATGCACGCCCGATCGGAAAAATATAGTGGGGAGTTCGGTTTGTTGAGGCAGACCTTACGCAGATGAAGGGCTGGGAATCCAGTTCCGTAGACTGCGTGATTGACAAAGGCTGTCTTGATGCCATGCTACTCAAGCCTGAGACGGACACAGAAGAAACGAATTAGAAACGAGTAACTCCAGATTCTCCTGACGACCTTTGCGACGCAGTAAACAGCATGCAACAACTTGCTCGCATTTTGAATTTGAAACCTGACGGTCTGCTATTCTTTCTGACGTTTGGTAATCCAAGCAACAGAGTAAACATATTTGATTCGGTGCCATCTGATCAATATAAGTTCATTGAGTGGGATATCTTGCAGTGTCTGGAAATGTCTCCAACATTTGGGCAGTCTACCTTTGTCACGCGTTTCTTTCTGTTTGTAGCACGAAAGAAGCTCAAGTGAACAAACAGCTATACCAGTCCATCACGTACCAATAAAAACGCATCCTACACTGCACTAGGATCCTCCCTCGCCAATACTTCTAGCTCATTGTAACTCATAACTATCGTCCTCCGCTTACTCGTCTACTTCCATTGTGGGCATATTACTCATTTCTGCGTATTCTCCACCAATCGTTCGCATCATATCCTGCCACAATTCTGTCGATGCATTGAGTGCAAGGGACACCGGTGCTTTCATAGGCACCCATGAACCCTGTTTCACTTCAGTATCCAACTGACCAGGTGACCAAGCCGACATGCCGCGCATAAACACGACGTCTGTTTGCTTTGCAGTTCCATCGTAAATTGCCCTTGCAGCCGTATCAAGATCAATACCAACAAAAAGACTCGGATCACTAGCACAAGGAAAATTGGTCGTCTGTACACGGTGTCCTCCAAACTCTGCTTTGCCATGCAGCACCTGCTCATACAGACGCCATTTTCAAGTCAAACAAAAAGCTTTCTAACTTCACACCACACCACACCACACATCACCTCACCTGAGCATTCTTCGACAACACTGGGCCACCCTTGCGTACCGTGCTTGTTCCAAAAGCTCGCATCACTCGTGACGGCACCTGAAACACTCGTCTCAATGGTTTCTTCAGTACCTTATTCACAATGAATCCCTTCGACCCTTCTGCACTATGCTCTGTCACAATCACCACCGACCGACTGAAAACTCCTTCCAGCAGTGGATGAGCTACTAAAAACACCCCTGACGTCGCATTCCTACCAATAAGCAGCGCAATACATATAAGTTTAGCTTGTTTCTTCCGTGTTTTTATTATTCCGGCAATAATAACCATAAAAACCTCGTCATACTCTGCTAATTGCACGTCCTCAAGCGTCCAAGTCTCGAGTTTCATCTTGGGCGGTAGTTCAAGGTCTTTCGTCTCCGCCAGCGTATTATTCAGTGCTCGAAGCGCCACAAACGCCGTATCTAGTCCATCTGAATCCACAGGATACTTTCGAGGCTTGCGAAACTCTTTGCGCACGAACTGAAGCAGCGTAGGTCGTTGAGAATCTGGTAAATAAAAGTGTCGACCACCAAGATATCGCACTAAACACCGATTGAAAGCTTCCACGTGTGGCAAAAGTGATCTAGAGCCTGAGACATATGAAGACTCGTGCAAATCCATTGTTATTAGCGTACGTAATGAAGCATGAGTGTCTAAAACCTTTGCAGTCCCCACCAACTCACGGTAAAGCGCCTTGGTCAAGGTCATTGAGGAAATGGCAATGAAATTTAAGTAGCATTAGTGTGGTACCTCTGATATTACGTACACCACTTCATTTTTAATTGATTTGTGTTGAGATAGCATGTCTTTGTAGCCTACAATTATGAATGCTTGTTTATTTCTTAGACAGTACTGCTGTTTGCTTGCTTCAATCAATCTAAGATGAGATATTTTACCATTCCCATATTCATAGAGCAAGATAACGACATGTCTATCATGCATCAACCATGACTCAAAAAACCTCGATCAATCGCTATAAACTGACAAGAGTATACATTTTCAGACAAGGCAGTTTTTTTGTATTGGCGTATACAATGTGTCTACATTTAGTTGTTTGAATGTAACGCTAAAGTTGAAGTGGTCACAAGATGAAGTAACTTCCCATCACACGGATGGAGGGTGAAGGATGTATCGATCTTTTCAACCAATGAAATACAAGCAGAACGCGATAGAAATGGTATTATCTCATTAGACAAGCGTAAACATCATTTACCGACTCGCACTAGCTACCGATTGGGGTATCAGACTTGTTTTTCTTCACCCAATTAGAAATATGCACGAAGAGACTCGCATTGCTACGATGGACGAGGATGATGATGAATTAACCGAGTTTTATCCATTAGATACTCAAGAAGAAGAGATGCTTGTGGATTCTAGACCTTTTCTTCATTCAGAAGTGGAAACAGTGGCCAATGGTCCATGGACAACGTCCCGTGACCACGTTGCGTTGCAGTTTTTTTGGCAGGGCTATGACGCCTATGTCATATACAAGGAAAAAGAAAGTATTGCTCCGTGCTTCTACAATGCACAGTGTATTGGTCAATCGGCAGACAGTGAATTTGTACAGCTCGTGCCTATTGATGGGGTGCGTGAGCGCCATATTTTGGATGAAATGCGCGTGCAACTTGTGTCGGTTTATAGTGGGAGATATCTGAGAGCAACGCACGTGTCCAAGTATCTCAAATGGTCACGATCACGAGATGAGCAGACAGTGTTTTTGATCCGGATTGCTGACCGCAAACCGCTCAACTCGAGCTCGAAATTCACACTTACCAGTTGTTTCTGGCCAGATCGTGCTGTCGGATTCACACAGACATTTCCGCTTGGAGGCGGTCGTGAAATTAGTAAGGCGATTGGATTTTTGACACTAGAAAAGAAGAAAAATCAGGCGCCGCTTTTGTTTCCAATTCGATTCAGAGCAGTGTTACGCTCTATGCGAAATGATCGATCGTCAGTGGTGGCGAGATCTCGACAACTGATTCCATTCGTGACGGCCAGGGATATGCTATTCATTGGAGAAGATGATGCTGAAAGATTAAATAATGTCCCATTGGCTCGCATGGCGTCACTGTCTACCATAGGTTCTTCCTTGGTAGAACGCACATTAAATAGCCGCTTGTCCGGTGTAGATGACGAGGTTTGGCACAATTGCACTTTCTGTGGCGTGCTGTTTCGTGCACGTTGCGACCTTATCGCCCACATTCGCGATGGCCATGGAGAGATGCTGCATCGTGTGTCTGTTCCCGGCACATTTTGCATTCACTGTGGCACACGTCGCGTTGACGGACACTGCACAAGGTGCGAGGATGTAGACGCCTAGAGACAGAGAAGGGGGCGAGGAAGTCTTACGAGACGGAAAATATTTAAGCTGGAAAGTGGCGCACTGTGCAGCTTTTCAATGTATATTTGGATAGATTATAAATGAAAGCGGTTGTTATTGCTCACGTCGTCAAAATCTCTTGCCAACAGCCAATATATTGTACAAGAAATGTAGATGATACACTCATGTTAACAGTAACGAATCCATGTGTTTTTTGTCTTCATCTTGGTCAAATAATTGCACCAAAAATGTTTATTAGTTAGTAATAATGCGTCAAAATTTCTTTGAAGATCTGCTGCTTCGAGACAAACCGCACTCAAAGACGTGGTTTTCTATCGTCACATTAGTCATCAAAATGATTGGTCACAGTTGCTGACCCACAATGGCTGGTAAGAAAATTCCTTGAAAATGCACGGAAGTTGAAAATATGAGTATGTTTTTGTGACGACTTGAACCTGTCAACAAATGGGAAATTAAGAAAATACCATTCTCCAATATGTATCTCACAGCGCAATAGTAGTAGTACTGCCTGTGCCCATGGCAAATGGGTAAACTAGAATGTTTTTTGCTTGCATACAGGTTAAGCTGCAGAACAAATTAGTGTTTGCTACTGGCATGTTATTAACAGCTTCATACCTTAGCTGACTCGATGAGATCAAATGGCATTGATATCGGCTAGTTTAGTCATTAGCTATCACAACGTCGCATACATGTCGAGTCCATTATGTTACTGAAGTAACCTTAATGTAACACGATCAAAAAGTTCATGATAGTTTGTCTTTCAATAATTGCCACATATGGTGCTAAATTTTACATTGCTGACAAAAATAGAGACCAGCATTTCCATGGCGTTTTGATTACTACTGATTCATTTAAAAAAGAAGGTCTTTTTCTACAATAAAGACCCATTCTTCGAAATATGATTAGAAATTTTTCTATTTGCGTAGACATTATTGAGGTTGTTGTACGAATTCTTTTTTGCAGGTTACGGTAATATATGTATATATACTGTGTCTATTTGGTCTAAGGTCCAACGTTTCGTCCACAGAATTGAAAAGTCCTTTCTAACCGTAGTATTCTTAAGCAATTATGGCTACAAAGGAGTATATAACAGCCAAACAAGCATCGGAAGTTCCTGTGGTAGGTAAATCTGGCAAGAAGATCTGCTGCTCCTGTCCAACGACAAAACAGGCTCGGGATTTGTGTATCGTTAACAACGGTGAAGAGAATTGCAAGGACATTATTGAAGCGCACAAGGCTTGTCTCCGCAGCGAAGGCTTTACAATCAAGTAATTTACCGGCTTCTCTAGTCCAGACAGCACGATGGATACTCTCTATCCACAAGTATTTACATGTGGACACAAGGAGTGACAGCGCTGTTAGATAATAAGACTGTTACATTGTGAAAAACACACAGAATGTTTGTTGTCGTCTTTGCCCTGCGCTGAGCTGTACTGCGTGACTTGCTTGCTGCGTTGACGTATTACGTGACTGACCTCCTACGACCACGCTGACGGACAGTTGTTTCGGTTGTTTTCTATAGCTCTTCTTCTTCTTTTGAGTGGAATATATCCTCGGGTTACATGGAGCACCATGCGATGCCTATGATAAGGAATATCTTTTTGCTTGAAAGAAAGCGGCTTCGAGCAACAAACAGTCACATGTACAAGTAAGTTGGGTGCAAGTTTGGTCGAGAAAAGGTGGTAAACCTACCAGGTTTTGAGAGAGATAGTCGGCAAACAAGCACGAGAAGACGCCGCAGTCAGATCCATTTGTCTGCAAAGGCGTGTCGGACGTGGTGGACACTAGCTCCCAACCTTGATCATCAAACTTTGTCTTTTTCTTATGTTCTGACTCATCGTGTAGATATCTAGCAGACAAGACATTGTCAAAAAGACAAGAAACAATCGTGAATGGATCATTAAGATCGAACAAACTGCTGCAAACCTCATCAACACTTGAATGCACGTGGCACCACTTCCGTGCATGGAATCGTAATATTGAATGCGCCTTTCTGTCATAAAGATGGCCGCCATACACCAGTGCATCTGCATAAAATCAACAAAAAGATAATACGCATGTTAATCAAAAGTTCATCGTTGTCAGCAAGTGACGAGAATACATACGTTGCCGACGTTCACCGGCATAAAAATCTTGTCCATGGCAAACAGATCTATCTAAACACAATCGATCAATACCGTCGTTAGCTCCTTTTCCACCCTTGAAAAGCAAACAGCTATGCTAAACCTACCTTCCTTGTCCATCGGCGGACATTATTAAAATTGTAGCCATTTTCCGACACCTTCGTGTAAAAGAATGAATTGAAAAAGTGGCTCCGCTTCTGCAGGATGCCAGCCTTCACTAACGCTTCATCACGATCGCTCATCATCTGGAAATAAAAGTTGATGACCTATACAAGATAAAATAACGTCGTAAGAAATAAGGCAGTCATGCTCATCCAAGGCAGTAGCACCATAAAAATGCAAACCTCATCGTTGAGCCACGCTAGAGGCAACAAACACTGCAAATGACGGCGCGTAATGTTTACGTTATACTTCTGGACAAGAACCTCCTCCATGGGGCCTTCGTGCAGAGCATCTTCGACAATCTCAAGCAGCTCTGGTGGTAACTCTTTGTTGCGGCTCTTTTCTTCTTCCTCATCAAAGACATCTGCAGCTAGGTCATATATCTCGTCGAGTAGAACTTCTTCCAGAACAATCTACGCACACAGTATCACCACAGCATCCAATGAGAAACATTGCAACGCCAACCAATTGCCTTGAGCATCATATTTTACGCACATTCGTTTCTCGCTCTGCTAGACGATTGTAAAATAGCCGATCTGCCTCAAAAGTGCGCGACAAGTGTTGTACTCGGAGTTTCGCTAAAATGACGCCACCAGGACATAGACACCTTCGTATATCAACAATCTCTGCCAACACATTCTAATTCCAATCCATCCTACCTTCAACTTCTGCAATTTCCTCGTCGCGGGACTTTGCTGTCATACTGACTCTATTCTTGTTGCTGTTGTCCATAGTCACTTCTGGCATCGTATCATTCTTTTCATTGTGCCTTGAAAGCGTACAAGTCTCTCCTTCCTGTTACAAAAAAACGTATACATTTACCGACTTCACCACTCCTTGACTCTGTCAATAGTGTAAGAAAGACAATACCTGTGTCTTGCTAGCCGTCTCACTTTGATCTTCCTGCTTAGCAATGATATCCTCCTTCACCATCGGTCGCATTTCCATCCGATGATCTTTGCATCCACTCAATTCTTTCTGTAATCGTTTTAAAATACTCTGGTTCGTCTTATTTTGCTCATAGACGTGATCAATCCTGTGAAACACAAGCTTTTGTTTTTTCCACGGCGATGAACCGTATTCTTCGTAATTTAATGCCTGTAAACGACTTCGGTATTTATCCAAAGTCAGTTGCTCTGGATTTGAAATATCCTGACGGGCTGAAAACCTCGTGGAAAACGTGTTGGAAGCTAGAGATGGTGGAATAAAATCCACTGGATAATCCTCGAGTAAATTAAGACTGTAACGTGTTGCGTTCTTAAGGCGCTGGTGATAGCGAGATGCATCCAATGAGACCTGAGTATATTGCTATATAAAAGGCATATGTGTTAGAATTCAATAGTTACATGAAGAAACCATAGCGATAAAGAGAAATACGAGACCATTCAGCAGCTGGATATTGGTCTCCCTTCACAACGTTTCTAAATAATGACAAAATTGTTGGATAAAATGATGATAAAAAAGGTGGATAATATGACAACTAGGAGGTTTAGATTAAGGTTTAGTGAATTTTGACATTGTCAAAATGGAAAAAGAAATACATTAACGTAATTCCTTGACAATCAAGTCATCTTGGGTCGCTGCAATAATTGCCGAATGTTGAAGTACTTGATCAGCTGAAAGTCGACAATTTGGGTCTTTCTCCAATAATCCACCGATCAGTTCTTTCGTCTCGATGGAAACGTGATTCCATACTGGACTGATAAAAGATAAAGCGTTTGGAGACTTCTTTACACGTTGTAAGATTGTATCCTCACTTGAAGAACCCGTCAGATCAAATGGATGATGACCTGAAATGAGGATATATAAGATACATCCAAGTGCCCACATATCCATAGCAGGTGTCATAGTCTGATACTCTAGAGCTTCTGGAGACCAGTAACATCGAGTTCCAGATAAGCTCACGGTACAAGATTTATCCTTCAATGCTAATTGCGGGTTTCGTGACACTGAGCCAAAGTCAATCAGTTTAAGCGTGATCTTTTCCTTGTGCGGATCACTGTGACGTTTATTGTCACGAGTCACAAGAACCATAACATTTTCAGGTTTCAAATCACAGTGAACAATACCTGCTTTGTGCATGAATTGCAATGCACTCGCGAGTTGCGACACGAGTTGGAGTGACAAGGTAGTATCAAGCAAGTGGTGCTTGTCCATATATGAATGAAGGGACATACCCGGCACATATTCCAGCACAATATAGTGGAAGTCATTGTGATAGTACGACCCTTCGTAGCCCACGATACTCGTGTGACCACCAGCGCGCTTAAAACACTCTAACGCTTGTTTCTCGCGCTTGACCTCTTCCTGGCTCCCTTCAAGATCCTGAACCATCTTTACTGCCGCTATACGTCCAGTTTGCTTGTGCACACACTGCATGACGAGTCCAAAAGCACCACAACCAAGTAACTTCTTTGCTTCATACTCAGTGTCAAAATAGATTGGCATATTGTCACTCTTGGTATTGCCATCCCACAAGTTGCAAGTGCTGTCCCCATCTTGTTTGTCTTCTTGTTCAATCGGTTCACACCGTGCGTCCTTCGTTGCAAGAGCCGTTAAAGCCGCGACTGCTACCCCAACAACACACACCTCTCGTACGCCTTTGTTTTCCTTGAATTGACGCAGTGGTTGTCTACAAACATGTGTCATCTTGTCATTGGACTTCACGAGGTGTGCTACCAAGTGCAATGCATTGCTGCTTGCTATTGCAAACGTTCGTATACTCGTACTAGTAGCTCGTTGACTTCGACTAAGAACAGCGTGCATTGTTGATTACAGTATGAGATGTTTTGGTTTATGGTTGAATGGTTAAATGACTGATTGACGAATGTCACGTTCGTTCCGTCATTGAAACCTCAGTGTTTTGATGTGAAGTTGATCGAATCGACGGGGGAAGTAACAACGTTAACAACGTCCCGTTTTAGCACCTGGAACGGCTGATTAGATAGAAACTGCCTTGAGAAGTGAGTCCCCCTGTCACACCCACCACCTAACTAGGTTTCAAGAGAGTTTAGAAATTGTGAATGTCATAGTCGAATTTCTTTTCATTCATTACATACCACTTTGATCCTGATGGGAAGATGGCGTAAAGATGAGAGGTTAGCTAAACTACATAGATGCTGCAGACAGATTGCCACTCTTTTGAGGAACATGGAGGAGCCATTGTATTTCTAATGAATATGAAGTACGCCGACTTGCGCGTTTGCTCGACTAAACTACATGGCTTTCTTCCTTTTCCAGCGTGGAATGGAACAATCAGTGCACCTTTTCATAATAATCGAGGATTATGCACTATCTCCTGATGGTTGGCACAGCCTTTGGAGCGTTATTGTACACGATATTGCTGGGAAAAGAAAGAGACGCTGGGGTTGATACAAGCGACTTGATTCAGACAATACCGGTGCCTGTGGCTACGGTGCATGATGATGTTGCAGTGTGTATGGTCAAGTTTTTTAATGGTGGCTATGCTGCTGCAATTGGGACGATGGATGGCCGATTATTCGTAAGAAGGTTTATCAATTCATGACAATGACACTCTTGTGATGATTGGAACTGCCGTATTGTCACGGGTGCTCTACGCTCCACGGGTCACGAGCTTATGCTTTTCTCTGTGCTCGACGAAACTTGTGGTAGCAACAAGAAAGGGCGATGTCTACTTATCCACTTGCGCATCAAAAACAGCGCCATGGCGGTCACTACCAAATCGCATTAATCTCACTGCACACTCAAAGCCAAAAGTAGGTGGTACGCTTGACACAAGCAATGCAGCTCCTTCGGTTCAGACGCTCGTGTCCTGCTGGGGGCCTGTCTTCGTAGTGTGTGCACGATCCCATGCATCCCGGCTAGAAATGTATGATTTCGCATCCGGCTGCCTGCTCCACGCACTGCAGTTTGTACCAACCCCTCCCATCTCCACTACTGCGTTAAGTCAGTGGGTAGACCATCAGCTAATCACGGGTATTTGCAGCTCACAGATTAACAATAATGGACGCTTACGGTTACTCTGTCACGATACCAACGCCAACGTTGTTGTTGTGGAGTGGCCATTTTTGGACGTCATTGCACGTTGGCTGCACCCGTAGTCTCTAAGCTCAAGACGCTTCTCGCTGACACAAATACGATGATTTCAAAGCTATTATTCTGTCATGAGTGTCCGTTGATAGATTCATGGTCCTGTTGGAATCCCATGAGTCGATGATGGGTCAAAAGTGGACTGTTGTTGCTCCTGGGTGAAGCATTGCGACAAGTAGCGAGAGGTTTAAGGCAGCGCACGGATTGCCAAACAAGATAAAGCTATGCAAATGTTGTCAACTAGAACGACGGAAGAACAGCAGCAGCTGACGGAACATAGTGCAGAAATATTGGCAGCTGTGGAGCTGATCTTCTGGGAACGGCAGTTTATAGAAGTCGATGACTAGCTAGACGTGGGCACTCGCCGTATTGGAAACATTAGATAGAGTTTCAGGTCATGTTGGGACATATGTAGCACGTCGCCCTAGAAGCATACATGACAGCCTGCCTGTCTGGAAAGGTACGTCATGATATCGAAAAACTAATGCTTGCAGAGATTTACAAGAGGTTTTCTATATGACAAGAACGCCATGGGATAGACTCCATTACATCCTAAGCACGACTGTGCACTAGGTGTGCTCACAGTGTCGCGAGTGACATAGTTACGCCAACATTTCGTGCTACACAACTTCCAGTAGCATCATTGAGAGCTACAAACAAAACCAATGTAATCCAAGCAACAACGCTATACTTCGTGTCTACACAAGACTCACCATTGAAACCAATATTACAAAGCCTTTCCTCTCAGCAATTTCCTTCACTACCGCTTACACTCATCCGTACGCCACACGTTACAACCAAGAGCTTACCGCTCGAGTCCACCCCACATGTACTTGTAAATAGACGAAGCACCACTGGTAAGTGAGCTTGCGACGGTCGAAACTGTTGCTTCAACAGCTTCGACGCCGATTTTGACGGACGAGCCGACAGATGTCATTCCTTTTGACATTGTCTTTTCGTTTGAATGGGCGTGAACAAAATCACTGAGCTTCAAACCAATTCGTTCGTTCAGCTTGCCTTCCATTCGCAACATCAGCGCTGTAGCTGCCTCGTCGTCTGACTGGCCTGGAAGAAATCGTTCAATGACAAAGGCTTCGAGATCACTTTGGGTGTAATTTACTCCAAAGTCCGTTATCTCCGGAAGCGCCTTCACCACCAACGTGAGCATGATCATAAACAAACTCACGTGCCGTCTCAAACAGTTGAACGCAATGATACACAGCTGTTTGAACTGCTCAAATTGCGGTGTCTGCGTGCCTCCAAGGGCTTCAATCATGAAGTGGTCCAATCGCATCGGGGGCTGAAGCGGCTTTGGGTCCTTGCCCAGAATAAAACCGTAGTCAATGTGGAATAAGATGCCGTCTTTTGTAAGCATGACATTGTCGGCGTGACGATCGCCAACACCTAGTAAGAATGTGATTACAGTGTACGCAGCAAGACTCTCCCTAAATGAGGAAGAGATATCGCTGAGGGTGCGGTGTCCATTATAATGATGCAAGAAGTTCATGATTGTACCATGGTCTCGAATAATGGAATACAGCGTGTGCGCATTCTCCACAATCTCGATTAGCCCGTCAAAGCTGCTCGCCGGAAGCACACGATACGTCACGAGCGGAATATCCAGTCGGGTCTCCTGCTTTAAAATTAAATACATGACGTTGATAATGTTCTGAACAATCGAGTCTTTTCGAAGATCGTCCCGCTTATACATAAGCCGATAGTGAGGCAGCTTCTGCGTACGGCGACTCCATGTGTTCCGCTGGGATCCGGTATTTGCGTCCGCATTGTACTCAGATTCCTCTTCATCGCGATTGACGCCCGTGCACGTAATGATCATGGGTGCCTCCGCGCTACGTTTTATCTCAAGTTTTGTGCAATCGATTCCGCAAACTTTAACCTGAGGCTCGACAGGCAATCGCAGGAGAGGCCACGCTTGCTCTTCATCCGCTCCTGCTGGGCTGAACACGCTGGACTTTTTGTCGTCTGTCAACGTTCGCAATGATGACTTCTTGATCGATACTTGCAAAATTCTACGCGCATCCTCAACAGAGATGCGTGGCGGGATTTTCCACATCAAGTCCACAAATTCCTGACCACGAAGCAATTGCTCCGCAATATCGTCGCTGGCAATCGTCCGTGACTCCAGCAGACGGCCAGTCGAAGACTTGTCCTTGAACAGTGCCAGCGTGAGAAGTAGCCGCTGCTTCATACCATCAAACTTGCGACGACAACTTGGATCTTCTGCCATGACCGTAAGTCCCCAATATAAATCGTAGCAAAAGCGAATATCACACTGAGCTTGGCGGATCAACGACTGCCCCAGCTTGCTGCCAGCAGCATTTGACTCCACACTGAGGCTGTGAAGAAGCACCTGCAAATAACTCCACCATTCATTCTCTGTTGCAGTCTCCAACAGTGCATCAATAGCCATTGCGCGCAGCCGACGGTTGTGAATGGTTTCGTCTGCCAAAATTTCCAACGCGTCGACACTACCAATTTGTGGCTTACATAGACGCGAGCACATAGTCAACATACATTTGTGCTTACGCTTCTGATGTAACAAACCCATCACATCGTCTACCAACTGCGTGTTTTTTTCATGCCTTCGTCGTGCGCTAACAACACTTTCACTGTCACTCTCCGTCATGTCAGTAATGGTGTCGGTCTCACTCTCGCCTGAGAAGTCAACCGCTTTCACGAGCTGCAACAACCACTTTGTGTGGCCAGCAAGAAACGCACGGTTAATAATCAGCATCTTCTTCTCTCTTTCAGACAAGCGATGCGTTGGTAAATAGTACTGTATTTGGCGGAACATGGATAAACACATGATAGTCGCGCGGTGCCACTTCCGACACACTTGGCCTAATGTCCGTAATTCCTGCAAGTCAAATTCGCACAACTCAAACACCTTAACGGTGTTATAGTGGTGTCTTCGCTGTTGCAGCGCACACGCGCAATCGTCACAAACGCGCTGCATGACACTACCATCTGGCACGTGCATCGACCCGTGCGAGACTGTAGCATTCGACACCCCTCTACTCGTCAATGGTGACGATGTACTCCCTGATTTTGTCGCATTTGGCGTAAACTTGCTGATCACGTTAGTTTCTTGCAGCCTTTGAACATTCTTTAAGAATTTTTCCTGCTGCTCTTCATGCGTTAATCTCAGTGAATCGGAATTGATAAACGACTGCGAGTGTCTACCTGTCGTGCTGCCACCCATATCCACCCCCGCGGCCGCATTCGGACTTGAATACGACGTCAAATACCAGCTAATATTACCAATCAAGTCGCTAGCATTTGTCGTCAACGAATTATACGACGGGGACACTGGCGTTGCTTCGTAATCTCCAGGAATTACTACACGTTGACTCGAACAAGCCGAGCAAAAGATGCGTCCACACGCACGACAATGATGTTTGCGAACCAGCAGTGAGAACACTGTGTGACACTTGAAACACGCAAATACGGCATCGTCTTGGACCCATGACGACAGCCTTCTCGGCTGCACAAATCTGTACACGTCCTGTCCCAACTGTCCATCGTCTCCATTGGCCCAGTCTTCATACTCTGTACTGCTATTCATGTCCATGGAGACAACTGATTTTACACGCTCGTTCTTTTCTTCAAATAGATCTTCACTTCCTTCATAGACAGAGTCCAGCATTCCATTACCATAGGGACGAGGATATTTCTCCTTGTTATCTTGTAGAGTCTCCAGCAGTGAATAGCGTTGATTTGAATGCCCTGGAGCTCTACCAAGACATTTACTAGATACTAAAGGTCTGCTTCGACGCTTTTGCTGCTGATGTAACGAGCTACGGGCTTCCAAAACCTGAGAAAAGGACAGATCACCACCTGTGGACGTGTCATGGCTGTACATAACGCAATTCGAAGTATTTTTGAGAGAAAATTGGACAGTGCACAGATCACAATAGTAGAATGTAGTTGACGATGAACAAGACACACGACAAGATACAAGGAAGCGAGTGTTAGTTGCTGGAACGAAGAGCTACTACGAGGTCAAGCACAAGTGCTATTTGAGAAAATTGCTGTATATTTTGGGTGAAAAGGCAGTTACTTATATTAGCGAATCAAAAGAGAGCAGACGGTCAGAAATATATAAATTTCATTGGTTAAAAAAATAGATCGAGAAAAACAGATTTGTGTAAGTAGCCCAAAACAACTGGCGCATAATTTATGCAAGATGTATTGTATTTTGGTCAAAGTCGTATCAACCATCACTCACGACGACGACATTTTTTGAACCAATGACAACATTACACCATGCAATTGATCGATTGTGATTGGTAAAAAGACCTTTTCTGCGAAAATGATTAGCACCAAAGGCAAAAATCGACGAAAAAAAATAAGGGGACGAGGAGAAGGGAGGGGAGGATTCCACTTTCAAAAGAAGCTTGAGCCACTCAAACGGAAGAAGAAAGAAAGAAGAGGAGTGGAAATTTGTGTGTGATTGGTTCTTTGTATACAAAAGACAAGTAAAAAGTAAATACTGAAGTGCACTATGGACATGATAATGGAATACAAGGAGAAAATCTCTATGAAACTGGAACGATATGATACGATTGTGGAGCTGGAAAAGCAGACGGGAGTGGACAAGTTCTATATCTTTTGTGTTGGCACGTTACTTGCTGGGATCGTGTTGTTTGTATTGGGTGGAGAAGAATTGGTAGTAGGTCTGGTAGGGTTTATTTACCCGGCTTATATGTCATTCAAGGCCATTAATACGACTGGCACGGTTGATGATACGCAATGGTTGACCTACTGGGTCGTCTATGCGTTTTTTAACCTTACAGAGTCGATTACAAACCTCCTTTTCTCGTGGATTCCCTTTTACTTCTTTTTAAAGATTGCATTCCTTGTTTGGAGTTATCATCCAAGCACGAAGGTATGGAAATAGAGTATGTATCTGAACTATTATTTAACGACACAAAACTAATGTTTACACTTGTTGATAATATGAATCTAGGGCTCGAAAGTGATCTACAATTCGCTCATTAAACCATACGTGGCTCCTCATATGGGTCAGATTGATTCGGCACTCAAACGTGGTGAGGAAGTGGCTAAGAACGTTGCTGCTAAGATCCAGGACAAGGACGAGTAAAGGGATTGCATCACGTGGAGCGTGGAGAGGGAGGGTGAACGAGTGCGTGCAAGATTGGACAATATGGATGCTACATCTGGTCATTAGGATGCGGATTTGCTCACGTCTACTCTTGCAGCAGTGAAGTATTTGTCAGCTCTTTTTGGATAAAAGCTGATGAGTGTTTTCTGTTGTTTTTAACGAGTAGAGAAAAAGAATCCGCTACGGTTTTTGTATTTCCCTGTTATTGGATAATCCATTTTTTGCTTTGCAAACGTATGGATTGTTTCTGTTGGTTGGATCGTTCTCGTTATATCTTTATAGGATCTAGATGTCCATTCCTTCCTTCCTTCCTATCTGTCCCATTGAGCAAAAGATCGGTCCACATTATTTGGTGTAATGTACTTACGTGTTATCGCCCTTGCATTGTATGAAACGATTTCAACGAATGAAAATGAAGTATATCCTCATATCTTTTATCTATTCGTCAAAATACGATATAAATTAATAATCTAGGTTTTATCCAACCGTCTTTCAGTTAAAATCCAAACCAACAAAAAAAGCGATGGTGGTCAGCACCAAGCAGTTGTCTGCAAAGGAGAGTGCACTGTTTCGGTCCATTGTCGTACGTAATCCTCTTTGTCGTATCTTCCATAGAATATCACTTCATCTCTACTTTCATCCAGTATCTTATTTGTACTATTTTCTATCTTCTATCCATATTGTATGATGAATAATGTTCATAACAATTTTTTATTTTATTTTTCACTCTATTGTTATATTTGATACTAGAAAAATTATGAAATCAAACAATATAAAAAAGGATTAAAAGCTGCTGATTTAATCTTGAAAAAGTATCCAGAACATGGTGAAACTCTAGCCATGAAGGGTCTAACACTCAATTGTATGGGCCGTAAGGACGAAGCGTATGAATATGTGAAGAATGGACTACGTCACGATCTTCGGAGCCACGTTTGTTGGCATGTCTTTGGTTTATTATATCGCTCCGATCGCAATTATCATGAAGCTATTAAATGCTATCGCAATGCTATTAGAATCGATCCTGAGAATTTGCAGATTTTGAGAGATTTGTACCTGTTACAAGTGCAAATGCGTGATCTGAAGGGATTTGCAGAGACACGTCGTACGATACTTACTCTTAAGCCCAATAACCGAAACAATTGGATTGGTTTTGCCATTGCTCATCACTTGGTAGGCAATTATCAGATGGCAATTGACATTATTGAAAAATACTTCAGCACATTGGACGGAGAGATTGCTCCCAACTATGAAGATAGTGAGATCTACTTGTACCAGAACCAATTGCTGGAAGAAGCAGGAGATATTGAAAAGGCGATGGCGAACTTAGAACAAAACAAGAACCAAATCACAGACACGCTAGCATGGCGCCAGAAAAAGGGACAGTTTTTGCTGCAGCTTGAACGCTACGATGAAGCGTACGACGTATTCAATGAACTCCTGGAGATTAATTTTGACAATTATGAGTACCACCGTGGATTGCAGTGCGCCATTTTGAAGCGGAACGACATGTTTGTCTTGAAGCCGACTCAGCAGAAGAAGCTGCTGCTGCCGTCTGAAGTCATTGACTTTTCAAAGGAGGAAAACGGCGATGAAATGGAGAAAGCTCTTGCGGATTATTACGCGGACAAGAAGTCGACATTTGGTGCAACGTCGTTGGTCTCACTACGTTTTCCGATGGACTTTACGTGTGGCGAGGAGTTTAAGAAGCATGCGGATGTGTATCTAAAGAGGCAGCTGAACAAGAAAGTGCCGTCTCTTGGATCGGACCTAAAGTCGCTGTACGCTGACGTGGATAAAGTGAAGGTGCTGGAGGAGCTTATGTTTGAGTACATAAAGACTCTGGAGGCCAAGAACCCGTTGGATATGGGAGACAACTCGATGGCAGCAAATATGACTGAAGAGGTGTTGCTATGGACAAGCTACCTAGTGGCGCAGCACTATGACCGTCTAGGTGACTATGCAGAGGCTATGAAGTATATTGAGAAGTGCATTAAACAGAAGCCGAACCTGCTGGACTTTTTCCAACGCAAGGCCCGTATCCTGAAGCACATGGGCGACCTCAACAAGGCTGCTGACGTAATGGTTGAGGGACGCAAGCTAGACCTGGCAGACCGTTACATCAACAATAAGGCGACAGAGTACTTGCTGCACGCTGACCGTGTCGAAGAGGCTGATGCTACTATTGCTCTATTTACTCGGCATGAGGGCGCCCCGCAGCAGAACCTGTTCGACATGCAGTGCATGTGGTATGAGATCGAGTGCGGCAAGAGCCAAATGCGCCAGCAGAATTACGGTCTTGCACTAAAGCGCTTCTTTGCTGTGGAGAAGCACTTCAATGACTTCGTGGAGGACCAGTTTGACTTTCACACTTACTGCATCCGCAAAATGACGCTGCGATCGTATATTCACCTGCTGAGTCTCTGCGATGAAATCTACGGCCACCCGTTTTTTGTGGAGGCTGCTCACGGCGCCATCGCTTGCTACAAGGCTTTGGCTGAAAAGGAGGAGTTGAAGGCACAAGAAGAAGCACAGATTGCCCAGGCAAATGCTAACATGTCTGCAGCCGATAGGAAGAAGGCGAAGCGTGCACTTGCTAAGGCACGTAAGACTGAGTTTAAGAGAAAACAAGACGAGGAGCTTAGTGCTAAACTGCGCAGGGAAATCGAGGAGAAGGAACGTGAGGTAGCCAAGAATGGAAAAGCCAAAGCGAATTCTGGCCCGACGCGTCCTAAGGATGACGATCCACATGGCGAAAAGCTTGTTGAGAAGTCTGCCCTCGTAGAAGCATGGCGCTTCGTAGCTATTCTCCAGCGTTATGCCGCAGATGATGTGAAGACGCATTTGGCTGCGTTTGACATTGCTCTCCGCAAAAAGAAGTTTTTGCTGTGTTTGCAGGCTCTTCTGAAGGCGCTGGCGCTGGAAGACTTGTCATTGAAGGCCAAGACTGAGTTGAATAGTCGCCAGTCTATGTTTCTGGAGGAGGTGAAGCAGGTGACAAACCCCATCTTGCTGAGGGTCATTGACGAGAGAAAGGCTGAGATGATGGTGGCGAGGGGTAGTTTTTAAGCTGCGGGCGTTGCGTTGTAGCGAATTTAGCTTGGTCTGGAGTGGACGTCTACGCATAGTAAAACGAGGTAGAGAACAGGAGATGCAACGACGCATACGCGTCCATTGACAGTCAATAGAGCAGCGTCTTACGTGCTTGCCAATGCCAAGTCTCATCGTTGCATGGTCGCCACTCATTCTGTCCTTTGTATCAGAACGGAGACTCAACTATTTTCGTATCGGAAGATGTGGCGCTGTCGTTCTGTTCTAACGCTGAAAAGGCACAATTGTTGGTCAATGTGTGAGTTATCGACTGCTTCTCCCCTCAAGCTCTACATAATTGCTGGTGAAGCATCAGGTGATGCTATCGGTGCCAAGGTCATTCGTGCTTTACAGCGTCAAGAACAGGCGCAAACTCTGGAATTTCGAGGAATCGGCGGGTGTGTCACTAATCAAGTTGGTAGAGTTTGTCAATGCTCTAAGAAGATGATTGAATGGCCGTTATTTCTTTATTGTCATGAACAGGTCACACATGTCCAACGCAGGATTCAAATCACTCTTCCCCATGCAAGAGCTGTCAGTCATGGGGCTCTTGGAAGTGGTGCCACATCTTTGGCGTTTACGGGTACGAACTACACTGCATGACTTGTTCTTAGGTTACTGCTACAGAGCTTCTCCTTTGATAGTGTTTCCGCGACTGTTTGTGGATAATGTAGCGGCGAGTTTATGATACAGTGCGTGATATTGAAGCATTCCAGCCTGCGTTGGTGCTTACGATAGACTCGAAAGGATTCGCATTTCGAGTGTTGAAAGCTTTACAAGCAAGGGAGCAGCAGACTGGTGGCAAACGCATCAAGAAGGCTCACTATGTTGCACCATCAGTTTGGGCTTACAAAAAGCGAGGGAAGCTTGATTCTGCCAAGCTCAGACAACTTTTGGATATCATGTTTGCGATTTTGCCGTTCGAAGAGGACATATTTCACGGAGGTGAAGACAGTCGGAATGTCCAAGGTAGTGGCGACAACAAGCTCAATCAATCTTGGTGTCACTTTGTGGGTCATCCAGCAGTTGAAGACTTCTTGGAGGCTAATAAAGTCTATGACAGCAAACAAAGTGTCCTAGTGATGCCGGATGAGTATCTCCCTGAGCCCGAAATCTCGACGGGAACCGATGCGTTGCTCGATTTTTCAAAATATAATCCCGTCGATTTGTTGGCTCGTGCTCGATTATTCCAGCGACTAGCGGCAAGCGGACGTGAAGACAGGGTCAGTGATTCTGTGCGAGAAAACCTTGGGATTCCTGTGGGTGCATTTGTGATCTGCGCGCTTGTTGGCAGGTATGAACGAAATTTTCTGCACACTTGCATGGCATACATTATTTTCGTAGTCGGTGAGGTGGTAGGTAACAATATTGTCTATACTTCTTAGCCGTGCCAATGAGGTGCAGAAGTGTTTGCATCTTGTGCTCGATGGCATTGAACTATTCCGCCAAAAGAAGAACGCACAGCACGAAAAGCCGGTACGTTGTTTTGACAAAAACTATTTGAAGATGTTAGTATACGACACTGGACAAGTTGACAGGTCGTGGATATAGATTTTCGTTGTGTTTCCAACTATTTCAGCAGTTAAAGAACAAGTCAATGGCCACATCTCTGCTATGGAGGCTCTTAGTGTGAGCTGTCGTGTTATGACAGATCTCGACTCAGTATCTCGATTCCGGCTTTTTCAGGTGATATTGGAACATCGTTTCGGCGATATTGTGAGGATCGTTGCATGAACTCAACTGCTTTCTATTGTTTGATAGAGCTCTGATGCTGCAGTAGCTGTATCTGGAACAATCGTACTTGAAGCAGCGTTAGCTAACTTGCCTACCGTCGTTGTATACCGAGCCAACCGGCTGACTGAGTGGATTGCTCAATGGCTAGCCGCTGTCAGATTTGTATCGGTACCCAACTTACTGCTTGGAAGGTGCGATTGGCCGATCTTGTTTCGACATGTTCATATGCTCTTAGCTCTTGTCTTCATTGCTGAGCAGATTATTGATTCCAGAACTGCTATTCAGTGATTGCACCGCTCTAAAGATCGCTGAGACGTTGACGTAAGTCGTGCAATTGATTCAACATCGTTTGCTAGCTTCTTCAAGTAACAAACTTAATGATGCGGCTTTAACAGAAAACTTCAGCGGCAGTCACCAAATCAAAAAGACGAATCGGATCTTGCAATGGCAGCAAGTACTTTGACCAAGTGGCTGGAGCCTAACGGAACTTCAGTTGCAAGTACCAATGTGCAGCCAATTCGGGCAAGCGATTTGGTTGCAAAGTATATTCTCGAAGTGTTGGCAGAAAAAGAGCCACAGCAATCTACTGGATCAAAAGTCGTGCTTGAAGCTTGAAGATAAACTCCATGCTAACGTACTAGCTCGAGCCGGCTAAGTCCAAACTCGTTGAAAGTTAAGAGACTCCAAAGCGCTGTGCAGAGCTGAAGCAAGATGTGCCAAAAGTAAAGTCCATTCATTTGTTTGACCGTATGCAATGCTTAATGAATGGATATTGACATAGGAAATACGACACGTCTATCGTCTGTTCAAGCTTTTACACGAAATTTGCAGTGTAGATTTCAACAAGGTGTTAAGTGCGAGTCGGTTAACGCTGTGACCTTGAATCTTGTGGTAGTGGATTGTCCTGCTGAGTCAATTTATCCGAGCAGCGAGAGCAAGTCACACGTGGGCCCGACCTTCATGTTGGTGAACGATCCCCTGCTGGACGAAACGCTCATGTTTACATTGCTCAGAGCCTCGGCAAATTGCTTGTGCATCGTCACATAGGGGTTGTTCCCCACTATGTAAAACTGTGAGCTGCTTGTTAATCCTGAAATCAACATGTCGGAAATGGAGACGGTAGCCGCGTCCACCGTTATGCTGAACGATTGGTTGCTCACACCGCGCGGGATGCCCAGATCCGGTTTCTGTGACAAAGCGTAGCCCAAGTACTGCTGTCCGTTGTAGAGACTCATATTGAACTCTCCAATTCCTTCCAGTCCTATTTGAGCTACATTATCCATTGTTACGTTGATAATGAATTTGTACTCAGACGAGCTGCAGGTTGTGAGCTCGATTTCTTTTATCAAGGGTTTTGGATCGCTAAAGCTAGCAAAGCCTTTAACTGCCAAGTCGCGCTCAAAGCTGAGGTCTTTGAGAGACACTCCAAACGCCTGCATATCAAGCAAAGCGGTGACCGCCAATGAAATCTCGGCTGCGTTCATGAGGTCGGACAGCATCGCGTTGAGCACTTTCTGGTCTGTAATGGGCATATCAGCATCTATGGTGATGTTATAGCTTTGTGATCCGGTATTGATATCTAGTTCCGGGAACGGCAGCGTGGCAAATTCGGTACCATCATAGAATAGCGATACAAAGGTGGAGCCCGTCGTGGCAGCGATAGCAACGTCATGCTGAATGCTCAAGCTTAGATCCACTACCAGTGTCTCGCTGTCTGGAATGCTCAAAATGTCTATGTAGTTCAACTCCATTTGTACATTGTTGATGTAGTGTTGGACAACAGCAGGGACAACGGCAAACCACACAATGACAAGAAGTCCAAAAGCCACCAGCGTTACGAGTGCAATAATGACGAAAACACGTTGTGTCTTTGTCATGTGCCACCATAGAAATTTCTCACGAGGTTTGCCACCCGATCCCAGCAGCATTTCGCGACTTTCGCTGTCCTTTTGATCGACTGGAAGCAGCATGGATGAATATTCACGGTATACCGCTTGAGCACTGGGCGACGTAACCTCTGTGATTTCGTCCTCTTTCGACATTGTCTTGCTGATCTTGGTGGGTCTCTGGTTGCCTTGCAATTGTTAGAATGAATGGCTACCTCGCAACCAGCCACGCCGACATATTGGTTTCGTTCAGTCTCCAAGTGGAAGCAGTAATTTAACGTGGATATCCACAAACAACACAACCAGTAGCAATAAGCTGTAAAGCTCACGTGCGTTCGTAAAGTTTAAGAACGCTGAACTGATTGCCTTAAATTCAGTCCATCTTGCTAGCATATATTTGGGTCTGCATATCATTTGACCCGTTCTTCTTCGAAATGTCACCAATTGACACCCTACCGTCCTAGGAAGAAGGCAAAACGTCGAGAGCAACGTGGCACATGTCTCTGATCATTCCGTGTTGTTGCGGTTGAAAGCAGCACTTTTACTGCGGCATTATCAGTTTGCTCCCTATGAATGTTCGTACACACGATCATTTGAATGACGCACGATTTTTCTTGTCGCCTTCAGCTCCATACGTTCTAAAAAGCTTCTTGACCTTTGTTTAGAGTAGGCAACATGAACTCACTTGTTAACTGCGTGTGATAAGACTGAGACCAACATGAGTCTTGCAAGCAATTTGGTGGTAAGGCTGGCGATTGCATCCAAAATTACCGCGTAGCCATCAAAATTGCTTGGTGCGATGTAGGGCGCGTGCACCTCGCAACGTTTTGCAGAGCATGTGCTTTGCCTATTGTCTGTGGATCGTATGGATCGTATGCATTTTTTGAGCCTGTAGCAATTGGAAGCAGAACTGAGGGATGATTACGTGAGAAACTCGCTACCAGCTGCAGATGAACAATTGCATTTCATCTGTACCACGTAACTAGACGCGTCAAGTTTGAATGCAGTGGTAAGAACTGGGGTGTACGACCACCGTAAAGTGGTAGATCCAAGACAATGCTGACGTACTTGGCGAACACCATCAATCGCTAATGATCGATGTCATTTTATAACAGACGTCCAACTTCATCTTGTCAACCATATAGACATGGTCATGTATCACTAGCTTGTCACGAATAATCGCGCGATTGGTCTGAACAAGCTGACAAAGGATCTATTGGTGGAGGTGAAAAGGCGTTTAGAGATTGCTTCTAACAGCAACAAGTACGTACGCGAAACGCTGAAAACACTAGAACAGCGATTGCTGGAGCAGGTTCGTGAAGCTGTCTACTTAGGTAACAATTGTACAGTGTTAAAAAGTCTTTAGGTGTTCGAGAGTGAATTTATTGGCGTCAACCCGTACCAAGCCTTACATATGAGCTGAGCGTACGCGATGTTTTCCCGCAAGAGAGAGGTAAAGGTAAAAAAGGTTGTGATACAGCTTATAAATCAGTGACAAAGCAAATGAGACTGAAGCTGTAGAAGCTTATGAATGCGATTAATCCTCTGTAAAGTTCACTATTAGCTGCTCACGCGGACCACAAAACGAATTTAAAGCGATTGATGACTTTGGACATTTGTCTTGTGTATTGGGGTTACACAAAGGTGTGTCTTTTACATACACACCTGTACCACATACTAGCCACAGTGGTAGGTTGATGTGACCGTACCTAAACTACGAAGGGCCGCATCGTCACGTGGTCACTATACTTAGTTAAGTATAGTGACCATACATGAATAAAAATAGGCTACAGAGCCAGATAAATAGTAACTAGCACTCAGTATAGAGTAGGTGCTTCTGTATGAGTGCTGCAAGATAAACATAAATATAAATCATTTAAACCTGCTCTGAATAGCACCGTGCTAGAGTATTAGTCCTTGCAAAAGGAATTGTATCTTAGATACTAGTCTCTTGGAGACGTGATTTTTTATGTTAACCATAAAGCATAAACTTGTAAAGCTAGCCTTGGAGAGGGCTAAGAACCCTAAGACGTATAAGCTCTTTGAGCTTGTCTTCCTCTGCACTTAGTGCATAAGTAGCTTTGCTACACCTGATAGCACTTGTAGCCAAACCCGCGCCTAGGTCTGCAACTACTTCTCTGTGAGAATGGACATCGAAGAGATGTCTGTGGCTGGCCTGTCACAGGCACAACAGAAAGGGTAGCAAAATCTGCTCCCTATCCTTGGCCCTAAGGCACGCAATACCTCATTGCCCAAAGCAAAGAAGAGGTTAGCAAGCGTATTCGTATGCTTAAAGAGTATAACAACGCTCTAGTCGAGCATGTAAAGGCAAAGATGCTGTAATGTTAAGAGTTCTCCAAACTGCGTAATGAGACCCCAAGCCACTCACTGTGCCGGACTGCCGACTGGCGGAGGGGGTACCCCGATACCGCGTACATATCTTCTATCACCTAGTGTACCCGTCGGCAAGCGGGTTGCACTCCTCAGAAGACTTAGTGTAGATGTAGATATAGGCCTTTAAAAAGGTCGAACTTGGTCGAACTGTCTGGGTAATCTGCTCGATCGTGCAGTAAGAAGGTTAGGGACAACGAGATAAGTGAAGAGGGACTACTAGTCTATTGCCCCATCCAGAGGGTCAAGGGAGACGACCGTGATGTGACAGCCATTGGTGATACACGAAAGTCCCCAAGCTGACATACCTCATCATCAAATATCGGTTTGGAAGGCGGTCGGACGTACTTACCACCGACTTCGGCGGTACTGCCATTGAAGTAGTGTTCCGAAGCGTACAGATGTATGTGGGTACTTGGGTGGATTGAGAGACTGGGAAAGAAGGGCCTACAAGATAAGATCCCGGGGAATAACAAAGCGACGTGCCCTTTCCAGATTATAGCGATGGAGCAGATTTCTTTTCTGCCGATGTCGCACCAAGGGAATGCTAAACTACTGATTCGAGTTGATCTATTAACGGGATATGTGATGGCCTAGACTAGTTTTTTACGGACGGCCTAGACGATAGCTGAAGTTTACGAAGAATGCGTTTTCGCCGTTTTTTAGTGCTAACAAAAAATTCGCCACATCAAGAACCAGGCTATATGTTGGATTTCTTTTGGGCGTCTAGTCGCATGGTGAGCCAGCGTGAGTAAGCGATCATGGCCTATCGATCACAGGCGAGCGGCACTATGGATAGGATGGTTCAGACCTGACAAGGTCCATAAACATGTATGTCTATGCTGTCGGACAGCAGGACTGGGATGAGTATGCAGAACGCTTGACGTTTGTGCTAAACATTGCGCAAGACCGAATGCGGAAGGATAAAACATTCTATCTGGTCCATGATTGTGATGCTAGGACCACCCTCGAAGGTACATTACCAGACGCCGCGTCATCTGTTGTTATTTGTCAGCTTCATCGCGCACACTTTAAACTTCCAACATCAGTGAGAGGTTCTATTTCGTTAGAGACTCCGCACACAGAGTATTTAGCTGTTGCTCTGATTGGATCGCCTTTGCACGAGTTTGCTTCAATGAGTCCGACATCTAATCATTCGAGTGTTGTAGATCCTTTGCTGAAGACTGAACGGAAACAAGTTACGCTACCGAGTGCTCATATGATGTCTTCATTTTCCTCTGCTCTCGTCAACTGCGACGCGCTCGAAGTACAAGGTGTGCTATTCCGCAGCAGTTTCATCCTTGCAGCGCACCGCATCTTGCAACTTCTCAGTCATGGACTGCTCCAGACCATGAAATTGACGGATTGGTTGCTCCAAGTTCGTATAGGGCACGATCCAGCTCACGCGGGAGAGAGACAACTGCTTGACCGTCTAAACTTCCTATTCGAGTCGTCCCCACTTTTCCTGCTCAAAGTGAAATCGAGCTTAAACCTATTCTAACTCATCCATGCTAGACTCCAGGTTGCCTGAGAGTTCGCAAGAAGCTTCCATGTCTCTTGTGCCATCCCCTGTGAGTTCTGAAGCTGCTGCTCTAGTGACTTCTTCTCATTAATCCAATTTGTCACAAGATCTTCCAATTCCTGAACTCTCTGTTGCAGCTCATACATGGTAGCCTGAGGCCGAATTAACTCTGCAGTTAACGAATCCTTTTTTAACCGGGCTTCAGTAAGCTCAGTAAGAACAGCTAGTTGCACCTCACTTTTTCGAGCTTAATTTTGCCCAGAGCAGGAGAAGTGTGGACGGCTCGAATAGGAAGTTGAGGCGGCCAAGCAGTTGTCTGTCTCCCCGCGATGAGCTGGATCGTGCCCTCTACAAATCTGGAGCAACCAATTTGTCACTTTCATGGTCTACAGTCCCTGACTGAGCAGTTGCAAGATGCGGTGCGCTCCAAGAATGAGGTTGCTGCGTAAAAGACTGCAACGGATGCTACACGACACAAAATCTATCGTAAGATGAAGCTCAGACCGACAAATGTGTCGTTTGATAAATAATGACGGAAGAACAAACAAACAATACTATACCATTTGTTTGGTCGTAATGCCCCACCAAAGCGGCGTTTTTATTCAATTCGACTGGAAGGTGGGTGATGGCGCGGTTTTTTTTTAAAATCGCTCACAGCCTCCGCACTATTTTTCTCTGCGACTTCATACTGTTGTGGCGACAAACGTCTTCAATCATCGATGACAGTGTCAATGCCTTGTCGCTCACTCACCGGCTGTCGTGGTGCTTGATTACGTGTGTGCTAGTCTATGTCATATTTTTAATTAACTCGGAGCATTTGTTCAAGCTAATTCCTGTTTTCATTATATTGATAAGTCGTTGTTTATAAAGTTGTTGGTCAAACCTGGTAAGATGCAAAGTGAATATATGTTAGGTGCTTAGTTCGCAGCTTTTCTTGCTACTCTAAGCCTACTAGATTCTTTGACTGTACAATAGTAATCGACACTACGCGCATTACTCGTTGTGTAGTCGCGCATGAGCAATCGACCCTTTACACATTACTCATGAGATAGGCGCACAAATAACTGTTGTTATCTGGCCGAGGCGCATCATCAACAACACTCCCACTCGACCCGGCAGACCTTGGTGTCTTGATCCTCAACATGCCTCGAAGATAGTCAAACTGCGCAGCTAAGATCGGTTTCTTCATGAGATCTGCATTCATGTCCTTTGTAGCGGAGTACTGTAACAACACTTGACCGTC